AGGATACCCGCTCAGATACCCGCTCGCGTCCAGACGATACCCGCTAGCGGGTGCGGGTGCGGATGCGGATGTGCAATTTCGCTGAAATTGCCATCGGATATCCGCATCCGAACGGTATCCGGATGCGGACCGACCATCTCTACCTTCCACACATCCAGCTTGCCATTGCTCCAAGTTCTGAAGCAATGGTGCGCTCCCATTAACACACACACAGCCTGCTTCTTTACCCCACACCCTCTCTCCAAACACCATCCACACCACTCTCAGTCAAAACCAACCCAACCACCCAAACCAGCAACCAGCACACCAAGACCATCATCAACCAGACACCCACCACCCTTCAGAAAATCAACCAACCCTCAAAAAACCCATCCAACAAGAACAACAAGAAGAAGGATAGAAACAGACCTCTCCCAAGCGACCAACCCACATCCCATCCAACCACAGAAGGAAGATATCACCAGAACCACCCAACCCACCCAAAACTCCATCAGCTACTATCCATCACATCAACAATAACACTCCCCAGCCAGAATCATACCAACACAAGAGCTTGAGTCTATCCTCATTAAACTCAGAAGATGATCACCAAACATGTTCCACCATTTTTTGTCCATTTATAGCCTGATTATAATGAGAGGGAACACCGGCCAAAACCAAGGGTGAAAAAGCTTAGAGATTGTTTGTTGGTACCCACAGTGGTGGGCCGCTACACTACGCTACGCTACAGGCCCATGTAGCGTTAGCGTAGTGGCACCATTTTTTTGTGTAGTCTTAGCGCGCCGCTACTGCCGCTGTGCTACACTAACTTGTAGCGGCGCTAACATTAGCCAATTTTTGGTTCAGTGTTAGCACACTGCTGGCGCCGCTACATGGCGTTACGCTACGCTACAGCGTTTTTAGCGGCAAAAAACGCCTAAAAACCGCTAAAAATTGCTGTAACGCAGCGTAGAGGGCCGTTTTTTGCGCCCTTTGGGCGTAGCGTTAGCGCAGATGGGGGGAATCGCGCTAACACTACGCTAAACGTTAGCGCAAATTTTTCCCCCATGCGCGTAGCGTTAGCGCAGAAATTGAAAAAAGCGCTAATGCTACGCTAAATTGTAGCAATTTTTTGCTACACTACGCTACGCTAACGCTACGGTTAGCGTATCTGGCCCACCATTGGTACTACCCATTGCTAGGTACCCAGAACTTCTTGACAGGTACCTCCCGCACCCACCAGGTGGTGCCGGGTGTCTGTTTTTGGGCAAAAAAAAACGTGCGGTACCCGGGTACTGAAGAAATTATGACCGCCGATGAGCAAAGAGAGTGAGTGACCGGTCTTTTATTGATAAACTCATGGGGGGCTCTGAGGATGTTAAGGTTTAGAATGAAGAAGAACCGATGGTGATCATTTCTTGTAACTTAGTCAGTTTAAATATACTATGTACAAGATTGATCAAGATGTGGTTGAGAAAATGAATAAGAAAGAAAAAGAAATCAATTCAATGTGATATGCATCAACAAGAGAGTTCACAGACAAGAAGATAAGTTTTAGCTAGAGAGCTGATAAGCCCTTTTTATTCAGGGTTCTTTGACTACAAGAAGGGGGTCAGACATACATAACTAGGCTAAAAACAGACTATAATGAATAAGAAAATCAGGTGATGAGATCAATAATGTAAGTGATTTTTGGTGTGAGTAAAAAATAGTATCAGAATTTCAACACGCCTCCATTACTCATACCAAAAGAACTAAGGAAGGAGAACACAAGGTTTTTATTTCTGGGTTGAAAAAACAGGAGGTGGAGAGTTGACTGTGATGATTGTTGTGAAAGAGTGAGTCAACTGATGTGTGTTGAGGAGCGATCAGAGCGAGGTGAGAAGAGATCGGAGCAAAGTGAGGAGAGATCGGAGCGAAGAGAGGAGAGATCGGAGCGAAGAGAGGAGAGATCGGAGCGAAGAGAGGAGAGATCGGAGCAAGGAGGGATCAATTGTCAATGAGTACCAAGGCCTTCACCAGTAGAGCTGTTGAGGGCAGTCTTTGTTGATAGGTCGGAGCTTGCCAGAAGCATGCACGTAGTGAGTGTAATGAGAAGTAGGAGTCTTTGGGGCCTTCTCAGGATACTTGGTCCAACAGTTGGTTGGGCGATGTCCGGTCTTCTTACAGTGAACACAGATTGGTGAGACGTATGGAGTTGGTTCGATCGGTTGAGAAGAAGCACGAGTGTGTAGCGTCATTGGAGGATCAATCGATGATTCCTTCTTAGATTCTTTCTTGATTTTATTCGTGACCGAGTATGATTTGAGTCTTTTGACAATTGCTTCAAAGGATTCAGTGGAAAACCCCATAGCAACAATGTCTCGAAAGGAGCGAAAGTCTTTGCGAGGTAGTTTCCTCAACATAATCATCATTTTTACTTGATCATCAAGCATAATCCCAGCAAGCACAAGTTTTTGATTCGCAAGTCTGATTGAATTACAGAATGAGTTCACATCTTCAAATTCGAGATCAAGAAAGACGTCAAGAGTGGTGGATCGAGCTGCTAGATCCGATCCTGCGTACTTCTTTCGCAAAAGTGACCAGAGAGCTTTACCGTTGAAGTGATCGGAAGGAGCCATTGTCGTACTAACAAGAGCAAGATTTTCCGAGTCAAGGTTCTGTATGATCATCGAATAGGCTTTCACATTTATTTTTCAAGTTGAGCCAGTTCTTCAGACGGGGTCTTTTCATCGGTTTTTAGAACACCAGTGAAATAGGTCCGAATTCCGATATCTTCAAGCTTGGCGGCCATTGGAAGAATCCATATGGTGTAGTTAGAGGAGGTTAGGAGAAATCGAGTGGTTTGAGTGACGGTTTCAGAGACGGAATCCGTTTTCGACATGGTGAAGAGGATTTTTAAGAGGGTTGAGGGAATGTAGCGGTCTTTTCGACTGTTAATCGTGAAGAAATTATGACCACCGATGAGCAGAGAGAGTGAGTGACCGGTCTTTTATTGATAAACTCACGGGGGGCTCTGAGGATGTCAAGGTTTAGAATGAAGAAGAACTGATGGTGATCATTTCTTGTAACTTAGTCAGTTTAAATATACTATGTACAAGATTGATCAAGATGTGGTTGAGAAAATGAATAAGAAAGAAAAAGAAATCAATTCAATATGATATGCATCAACAAGAGAGTTCACAGACAAGAAGATAAGTTTTAGCTAGAGAGCTGATAAGCCCTTTTTCTTCAGGGTTCTTTGACTACAAGAAGGGGGTCAGACATACATAACTAGGCTAAAAACAGACTATAATGAATGAGAAAATCAGGTGATGAGATCAATAATGTAAGTGATTTTTGGTGTGAGTAAAAAATAGTATCAGAATTTCAACAGGTACCACCCTACATCTCTCCCATAGGGTGTACCTGATTGATCAGAAGGGTTTCCTCCCATTCAACGGGGTACAGGTACCTTGTTGATTGTAAGGAAACCCTTCCAATCAATAAGGTGTTGATTGGAAGGAAACCCTTCCAATCAATAAGGTAATGTACCTTGTTGATTGGAAGGGTTTCCTTCTGGTTGACAAGGTACATGTACCTCATTGACTGGAAAGAAACCCTTCCAGTTGATGAGGTAAATGTACCTTGTCAATTGGAAGGACTTACTTCCAATTGAGTCAACAAGGCAATGTGCCTTTTTGATTGGAAGGGTTTCCTTCCAATTGACAATGTACAGTCTCCTCCCAGATGTTTATAGCCATCCGTTTTGAGCTACACACTGGGACCCCAAGAACTGCAAGTCACAAGAGTTTGTGGAATTGTGGAAAATGGGTCTCAAAGAATGAATATGAAAAAATAATTATAAAAATATTTCTTTCAGGAAAAGATGAATATCAGAAGTGATATGATGAGATCTGAAATGAATAATAAGAAGTGAAAATTTGGAAAAAAAATGACTACTTGGTGGTTTAAAAAGGGTGCCTAGGGGATCATTCATCAAGAAATGTGGCATTCTGGCACAGCAATCTACTAATTTTGACTGCAGGGTGTCCACCCACCATGCTCAAAATTTTTTTGAATCAATATTTTTTCATTTATAATCATCCTTTTCATGTTCCAAAATTGCACTCTGTGTATTCACTTTTCACTCAAACAAAAAATCAAAGTTTCCAAAAAAAGTTGATTTTCTTTTATCTTTTTCACAAATTTTAAAATCTTGTTTTTTATTTTTTATTTTTTCATATTCATTCTTTGAGACCCATTTTTTACCATTCCACCAACTCTTGTAACTTGAAGTTTTTGGGCTCCCTGTGTGGAGCTGAAAAAAGGTGGCCATAAATATCTGGGAGGAGACTGTACATACATCCTTGTTGACCGGAAGGAAACCCTTCCAGTCAAGAAGAGGTACACAATTGTTGACCGGAAGGCTTTCCTTCCTGGAAACCTGGCCAAGAGGAACCCCTCCGGGCCTCAAGTCTGAACAGTGGGAGGGGTTCCCCCCAGGCTTGTTGTGTATTCAGTTTTTGTTACCTTTTCTTCTTTTTTCTGTGAACCTGAGCTTGTTGTTCTTTTTTTTCTTTTCTTCCTCCATATAATCACTCTCAAAATAATACATTTCAAAAGAAAGAAAAAAAATTCAAGCATGTGGTTTGTCTGTCCCCAGCTGAAGCTTAGCCATTCCTTTCTTGTTTTGAATCTCCCCCTGTTGATTGTGGGAGTCCCTTTTTCTTATCTCTTCAAACTGCTTCTTACCCTCTTATTCTTCTGCTTCTTTCCCATGTTTTCTCCACCTTGAGAAAATGTTTTCTTCTTCTTCTTTTGTTGGCATTTCCTTTTTTGAAATTATATGATTAAGCTTTGGTGGTGTCTGTGAGTAGAGTAGATGGGTATCACAGTATAAGGGGTTTCACAGGTTCTACACGTTAAAGTACCCCCGGGGTCCCCGCCCATTAAAGTACCCGAGCTTAACCAAGCCTCTCCGAAGGAGGCGTCTGTCTCGGTGGGACAGCTTCATGTGTTAAGTTCGCCAAGTACCACCGGTGCTGGTCTTCAAACACAATATCTACATAGCTGTTTCCATGAGGTTTCAACTCACCCATCACCCTCAATCCGTCCTCCCTGGAACAGCCCAGTCTTGAGCTGGGATACATCCGATAGTCGAATTCAAGGCCCACCAGAAAGCAAGCAAGAAGAATGAGTTTCGAATTCAAGTGGCCAAAGTTCTCGCCTTCGTTCTATGACCATGCCAAAGATCTACTGTCCACTGTCAGTCCACAATCACTCCGAAGAAACACAATCAATCAGCCAGTTAAAGTTAGGGTGCTGATTGCTTCGATTGTACATCTAGGCTCTCAACAAGGGTGATAAGCCGGCCATCATTGCTGATCGAATCGAAGTCAACCAACTTGATATGGGAACGATTGTTGAGTTTCGCTGTTTCCTTTGATTTTGTTGTTTTTTCTCAACTCCCTCAAGATTGTCGGGGTTTCAAAAATGCTTGCAACCATTTTTACTGGGCTTGGTGCTTACAAAAACAAAAAACGTTATACTTTCCCTTAGCCACCCGACCTAGAAATCTTGGAAATCGGTGACCTCGGCCGGGATAGGTTTAGAGGCATCTTCAGAATGACTTATGCTGGTGATGCCTCTATTCGCCTGCAAACTAAAGTCCAAGTTCGTATGCCATATCGAATCAACCAAAGCGCCTTTTTAGCATTTCCCCAAACTCGGAGCACGACCTCTAACTGTTGTGGTTTCCTCATTTTGTTTTTTTTTCCACCTTCAAACAGGTCAATCCATTACGACAAAGAACACCTACCGCTACCTCAGATGTCCTGACGACTCCACCAATACTATTCGCATCGACACCGTTGATAGTTCCGATGACATTGAGTCTTTCAAGCCTTAAACTCCGGGCGATCGTGGTGCTTGTTATCTCTCGCTTGGAAGGAGTCACCTTGGTCTTCAAGAACGATCCTCTCGAAAGCGTTCAAGTATCATCAACATTCGACTCTTTGGCTGCAATACAGACGTTTTTACAATCTGAGATTGAGCGTCAATTGAGAGACCTCTTCAGGTCTGAGCTGCCTAGTATCATACATCAACTCAGTAGGCGGTGGCTCGGAAGGGACAATCCAGATGGACGATCCCAAGCCCGGGTCGAACTACCTTCAACCTCGGCCCCTTCAACACCTACTCCTTCTCTACCGACAGCTCAGTCGAACGGTGATCATAATGGACTTCTCTCCGTGCCAGACGAAATTGAAGGTTATGATCCTACGTACGGACTGAGGCCTTCTCATCCACCATTGGTCGGTTGCTTTACAAATTACCGGTCGCTCATCAAGCAGAAGAACCGGAAACTAGGGCTAGGCGCCGTTCTGAGCCATACTGATGACGAAGAAGAGCATAGCAAGGAAGACTTAATACCATCCGATGTCTCCTCATCAACGCTTTATTCACCCCCTCATAGCCCCACGCCATCTCCTCAACAAAAACAAAAGAAACCAGATGCGAGTAGAGCCAAGAAACCGATGATCAAACCCAAGATCTTCCACTCCCATTCTGCTGGGATTGTGAATTCAGCGCTGTCCTCCTCTGGTATATCGTCGCACAATGGACACGAGGGAACCCGTAGCTCGTCTAAAGCCTTGGAGCCCAAAGCAAGGATGAAATTAGAGGATCTTCAAGAGGCTCGGGTCGAAGAGGAACAGCTCGAGGAGGGAGAAGTCTTGCGAAGTCGGCGGTTGGAGCGACTATCAATGCAAAGCCACTCGGTCAGCTCGAGTGGACTAGCTGCAAGGATGATGTCAATTAGAGAGAAAGCTCAGAGGAAGCGACCTGAGCAGATCAGAATGTCCACAAGTCCTATCAGTACCTTTCGCACCCAACCTCTACCTCGACCTACGCCTTCAATCTTTCCATCCACCCAACGATCCAGCATGACTTGCTTGCCCGCCTATGCATCGAATTGCGGTACGCCAGTCCGCTCTCATGCCCATTCGCCCATCTTCCTCGGCTCCCGTTCGACCAGTCCAATGAGAGGAGAAGATGAGAAAAATGATCAAGAGGGAGGAGAAGAAAGCGAAGGAGAAGGATCGCAATGTGCATTACTAGCCAGTCTGGTCCGAAGCAATTGCACCCTCAGTCCCTTCTCTCGCTCGATCTCACACTTTGCTGCTCGGAGTACTCCTCTCCGTCATTCCTCACCCTCCTCCGCTCTGTCGTCTCCCACTCGGGTCAGCCATCTAAACGAGCTCCATTCGTTCTACTCTAGAGATACCGTCGATCTCGATCAGCTTCATCTCCGCTCTTCTTGGAATGATTTACATGCTGATGGGTTCAAACAAAAACGAGTGATTAAGATTAATAAGAAAAATTAGTTTCATCATCCACCCTCCATCTACCTGCTCTCTCTCTCTCTCTATTCCTCTCTGTCTCTTTAGTTTATTGTATCTGCCTGCTGCTCCAATATAATATAACCTGTTGTTGTCAATTCAACATATTTTTCATCTAATTTATTTTAATTTAATGTTGTTTTTCCTCCACCTTAGATTCGTTATGCTCATGTTTTTTTTTTCTTCTTCTCCTGTTTCTTATCATCTTTATTATTCACGTATACATAGAGGATCCTTTCGCGTTACAGATGTTTGATTTTTGTTTTTGTTTTTTTTGGCTTATTTAGTTCAATTGAACTCATTTTCACTTGCTGCCTGTTTTGTTTTTCTGGTTGGAGTTCGCTTCAATCGATTTTATTATAAATACACACATGCCTAAGTTTGGTATCTAAATCCTCACCTAATTTCGTTCCCTTCATCCTCAATGACTCGATCCAAAAACTCTAATTGAGGGCCTTGTTTGTCTTGGAAGTCTTTAGGGTTAGACAACACTCTTGAGTCTCAACAAACATGACTTTCACTCTTTACTTCTTTGCCCCACAGAACATCAATCAAATCGGACCATATTAATATCACCAGTCCAATTCAGACGGTCTCCTCCAACCATTCCTCAGTTCTCATCTCAAGTTAACTAATTAGGCTCATCGAGGTTTGTAACAACGTTGAAAAGCAAGACGCATAGGACTCTTCTTTCTGATTATCTTCGTCCGTAATGATCACACGCTCACTGAAACACAAGTTCCGCAACTCAGATCTTTGGCTCCCTTGCCAGTGAGGCTTCATGCTCATGTAAAAAAGTCCGTCTGCAAGCCGACTCCCCCTCCCGTCAAGTTTGAACCAGGGTTGTAGGGTGAGGCGTCTTTCTGATTAAAAGAGCACTCTTTTCCAATCATGTGCATTTCCCCATGTCAATCTGAAGTGGATCTGCGAAGCCATCGCTTTTTTGTTTGTTGAGTTGTCTCCTGTTTTGCCCAGGAGAAGGTTGAAACGAACTCCTCAGACTCTCACAGATACTGGGTTTTAATTGTCTAAGATATTTTTAAACGCGCATCTTGACGTGCATCTTGATTTTGTTGGTACATGCAAGTTCATCAGGCTGGTACATATTGCATCATAATAAATGGGAAAGGTAAAGAAAGGGCCGAGAAGGAAAACAAGAAAAGCCTGATTGGCATTTTATCTCGCTGATAGTTCCAGGATCAGTTCTGTTATTGTGAAAATTGCGGCGTTCTGGTGGGGATGTAAATCGGGTCGGTTAACAGCTTGGAGGGATTCTTCGATGAAAAAAGATGGCGGGAGAATCTCGCGGGTCAGTGGTTTTCGGTTGCTCGAATGCAACCGGCATCTGGTAAGACGGTGTTGTGCTGAGGTTCGGAACGATCGAGATCATAGAGATTGAGTAAATGAAGGCAATTCGATCGAGCCTAGTGAATTCCGACTGACCTTTATCGAGAGTCCCGGAGGGCAACACCAAATAAACGAGGCTGACATGCATTCATACAAATGCCTGGGTCCGCCAATCCATTTCGCTTGGTATGCTGTTCATTCCCACGCACAACAATCGCTTTGATGGTTAGCTTCAGTCGCAACTACGAGTATGTAGGCCCAACAAACTCCGGATATGATTTCCAAAAGGGAAAAGCCACAGTGCTGCCACACTCACAAAGGAATTTCAGAGGCATTTTCATCTCTTTTGGACCTCGGCATGCTCCTTGGGTTAAGGTGCGACCACAGCCAAATTTTGTGGCATTTGTACTTGAAAGCCCAGAAATGACGGCTAGGAGAATTGCGACTATGAAAAAGCGCATGATTGGATTCAGAATCTATGAGGATGTGCAGAGCGTTTATGGATGATGGTAAATAAGTTAAGGGTAATTATTTTGAAGAGTTTAAACAATTCAGACGGGTGGTTTTACCTGTTGACAGCTGGATGATGAATTTGAGTGTTCAAGTTTTTATATCAGAGTTAGCACGTTGGGGTCGGGGGTTAGGTGTTGGTCCACATCTAGGATGGGACAACCCCATGGCTTTATAGAGGCTGACATTGCTTGTTTTCCCGATTCAGCAGGTTAGGCCAAAAAGAAGTTTTGTGTGCAATAGTCAACTCACGCCATCGCATCAGGATGACTGGCGGGCAGCCGGTTGCAAGGCAACTATTCAAAATCAAGGATTAGAAGTCGGGACTAAAGCCCAAAGCTTGATGTGGCTTCTGTCCTAATACATTGTTGGACTAATCAAGAGTGCACGCAAGAATGGATCATAGGCGTGGCCCTGAGTGGCTTGTTACGGTGCAACCGCTTACACCACGGGTGCACTGTGGCGTCCTGGGGACATCGCGTCAAAAAAACACCCCAGGGGTTCTCCGCATCCGCATAGAAGAGAGACTCTAGCTAAAGACAGAAATGATTTGAAAAGGAAAAACCGACTGCTGCAGACTCACATCTTGATCACTTTTTGATAGAGTTGCGTGTATTTTTCTTTGAGCAAGAAGATTATGTTATTCAACCCTCTTGTTTCCCATATTAAATGAGGGAAAGGAAACACAAGCAATAGCCAGAGTACTTTTAGGTTTGGGAGGAACACGGTGTTGATGGCATTACATTAATATATCCACACACTTCTACATGTACAGGTGGATGAGGTACAAGAAGATGCAAAGACGAGGATCGAAGATTTATGGTTGGTCGACTTCATCATGAAGGAAACGGAACAGCCTAGAGCCTGATTGAGGACCAAACAAGTTCTTGAGATCACGCTCAGATAACTGACACAAATCGTTCAAGTTCTTGACCTGGAAGATTGAAGAAGAAGAAGCGGAAGCGGATGTCGATGCCGATGCTGATGTATTGTTATTATTATTAGTGGCAGTAGTATTAACGACTCCATAGATTAGTTTCCTAGCTTTCAACTCATCCATTCCGGGCAAAGCCTTCAAAACTTCGTGCGCAGAACTGCAGATGCCAAAGTTCTGATTCTGTTGGGTCTTGTTGATTGCCATCAAGTCCAGTTTGCCCTTCTCGCCCTTCGAGATGTCGTCCATTCCAACCAGACTAGCCGTCTCGGCATCCGGCTCTGGATGAGTCAGTTTCAAGTCTCGGAAGATCTCGGCTGTTGCCGATGGCGATGACGACCAAATCAACCTCAACTTCTTGAACGTTAAGGTCAGCAGGACTAGTTTGGCTTGTAAATCCGAATCCGTTGGGGCTGCAGTGATCGTACTCGTCTTGTTTCCCCTCGTTTCTTTGTAAGTCTATCATCATCACAAACTCTGAATTTCAGTCTCTCATCTTTTTTCGGATTGTAAAATTTTCATAAGGCCCGCAAACCTCAAGTGTGAATGATTTCTTTTCATCAAATTCGATCAACAATATCGGCGTTTTATAATGGGCTGACATCATTTCACACTGTTGATATCTAACAAAAATAATAAGACAGAGATGACAAAGAAGGAGGTTATTGACTGATCCACAAGCGAGAAATCGGAGAACAGATATCACCAGTTGTGATTGAAGGAAGGACTTACAATCGGCCCGAATTAAAACTCTGAATTAAATCCGCAATGCTCTTTCGTTCAACACACATCTCAGGTGATAATATATAATCACCAATCAAGAGCGTAGTGGGCTCGATCACGAAATTTCCAGCATGTAATAACGAGGGTAATGACGATCGAAATTCACGAACGTCCACAATAACCTACACATCAGCAAAAGAAACCGATGTCTGTCAGAAGAAATCCATCTTTTTATCATGGCAAAGTAACTCGACAAGCGAGGAATGTGGATTCCTTAGGGAAGAGGAAATAGAATTTGAATCTGACCTTCGGCATCCCAACTTTTAGCGCTTTACCTCCTGCTTGTCTCGAAGAAATCGCCTGAACGATCCCCTCTTGACTTATTTCCCCCGGTCTCGCCTCAACTTCGAGCGGGATAACCATCGTCTTATATTCAGAGATCCCCCACCCCCCCCAAAAAAAAAGAATTATTATTTGATTTTTGGAGACAAACAAGAGACAAATGAAGTCATACTCACCGAATTCTCTCTAATCAGTCGTTCAAAAGATTCTTTCTCTCTTCGAATGTTCGATAGATATTTCTGCTCTTCAACCGATTCACTGTACATTAAGAAATATGGTTTCACATTTAATTCTGGATGGCGAAGACGGAAACACTACTCCCCAAAAAAATGCAAAACGTGTTATTAGTATTTATTGCTATCTCAATTTAAAAAAAAAAGTCTTTCTTTCAAAAAAAAAAACATGACAGACTTACTTCAACTCGTCTGACAAAACCAACATCAGGTTCATACATAATTACGTGACTAGGTCTGAGTTCCTCCAAGACACTATCATCTTCATCACCCAGATAGACTTGAATAACGACCAAATCATTCATCGAGAGCATATCGAAATGGGCGACGAAATCCGATGGGTCGAAGTCATCCGTGGTCAAGCCATCCGTAGCCTCATCGGTTCTAGCGGGATCATTTTGGAAGGTCGATGCACTGGTCATCGAATCGAACCTAAACTTGATCCCATCATTTGAGTTAGTAAAACAAAACCCCCTATATGATGTTGTATATTTGGGAACGATCAATTTGAATCAAGCTTACAAATCCGCCACCTCGATCGCTTCTTTCTCGACGGTTTCCGCGTCGTTAGGCTTGCTCAGATCGAGCGGATTATCTCTCGAATTGCCCGAGTTAGCGGCATTGGAGGCCCCTCTAACTCGTCGTCTCTTGTTCAGATAAGTGGCTTTTCGTTGGTACTCATTCTTGCGCTTGAGAGCTGCATTCAACGCCGAGTCATCTGCTGTATTCGTTTTCGAACTCGGTGCCAATGGTTCTTGCTGCTGATTGCGAGACATCTTCCCGATCGTCCTCTTCCAAAAAAAGTAATCCCTCAGTCTTCGCTTCATCATCGGTCGCGTCCCGTACTTCGCATCTGATGAGGCATGTTGAGTGGCCAGATATTCCTTGAGGACTGAACAAGTTGATGCCGAAGAGCACATTATCAGGATCGCATTCGACTCCTCGGACCCGACTAAACAATAAGTCATCATTTTTTTTTTTTTTTGAGTTAGTTATGGTCTGAAGGATCCGGCTCTCGAAGGAAATCACGCGAGTTCTCTACCTGTCTCAGCCTCAGCCGCCTCGTACAGATTTTCTTCGATTTCCTTGAGCACATCTTTTAATAACTGCCACTTGGGTTGATTTTCCAAGACAGGTTCAGTGTCTGGAGGTAACCAGCCCCAAGTATCCGAGGAAACGTTGAAGCGGGACACATCGTATCCGGCTCTTTCGGCAGCGTTCAAAGCAACCTCTTCAATCTCCCTCATCGCTTCCTCTTCCTCCGCAGTTGGCCCGTCCTCTAAGATCGAGATCTCATTTGAATCGACCACCGCCGCTTGCTTCTTCCGATCCTGCGTCTTGACGTACACCCTGTTCTTCGCTACCGAAAAGATCGTATCTGCAGCGCTAGTAAATAGCCATTGGCTTTCGTTCTGTCGTGGACCCGCTGCTGTTTCCTTCGGAGAATTGGCTACCAGAATTGTTTCTAGGAACCGGTAAAATGTTATACAATCAAAAGCTAACAGATACCTGAGAGGAAACAAGTTTTCTTTAGATTAGTGAGTTGCTCATGTAATACTGCAATCAATGATGGCAATTGAACTGACGATAATAGTTGTCGAAGTGTTTTCAAATCCGAGACCAATTGTTTAGTCTTGAAACTAACACGATGCCAGATAGGATTCAACTGATTGCGAATGATCTGATCGAACGACCGATGGAGAGCGTTATCGATAGTGAGATCATCGACTTCCAACTGATATTTGGGCGACGAGGAGCATGGCTAGAATTAGTCTCTTATTATCAGGGAGCCCACAGATCCAGGATGACAAACGAACATTGGTGTTGCCTCTTCTAATCTCGGCTAGAGTCGCATCCATACATTCAATAATCGCCGTCTGAATCTCGATCATCGCTGGACTCATCGGCTGGTGTAATTCGATCACTTGTGGTTTCATGGCTTCAAAGTCCTCCTTGATTTCCACTCGAAACCTAATTCCAATACATTCCATTAGATCCTCTAGATATTCTCTTTCTTTGTTTGAATTTGTGTGTGTGTGTGGGTGGGTGTGCTCACCTTGGCCAAAGGAATACATTCCGGATCTTCAATTGACTCAAGACGGTCTGCAGCGGTGAAAATCCAAAAGTAAAATGCTCTGGCTCTTCTGAGAACGCTTTGATGAATCCTTTCTTTGACAAAACAATAACAAAAACAAAAACACATTAATGAGACGATAGTTGTTCCCTGTGATTTTGGAGCAATTGAACATCTGGAGAGAGGGGATTGACAAACAATATTGGATTTCCGAAAGACGCGAAGAATGAAGGCCTCGATTGAAGTGGGAGAAACTCTTCATTTCATTTCATTTCAAAAAGTAAGACCAGATCAGACAAAGCAACGCTCAATGAAAACCACCCAAAACCAAGCTGCCAATTTTTTTTGAAGTAAACCAAACAAAAAAGCAGAACGAGGAGGAGGTTGGGACGGATGGATAAACGACTTACTCCTCAGCATGAAGAATGACGATCCCGGTGATTTGAGAGAGTTCGACTTTGGAGTTGAGCATGTCGACGATCAAGATTCTTGAGGTGATAGAGAGTACGCCGCCTTGTTTAAAGATGCGTTCCCTGATACAAAAAAACCAACAAGCACAAGAAGTTAATTTCCAGGGGTATACCATAGAGGAACAGAAAGAAGAAAGTGAGATACCGTTCGGAGGCGGAGATCTCGTGGCCGATACACGCCATTCGCATGCCGAGGAAGTCATTGATGCCGGTCTCGTCGTCGGTGGTAGCATTGATGACGAAGACTAACGGCCGGGCTGATGTCGTGGATGCTCTCGCACAATGTGCTTTCAAGAAACTCGAGATAATCGTCCGAAGTCCAAGCCCTCGTGCGAGGATCAGGAGTCCATCCTTCTCGTTTAACTCTTTCAGTATCTTCCCTTGAAATGCTAGTAGGTCTTCGCTAGTATCCTCGGTGCTCGTCATCCCCCTCGTCTCCGATGTGATGTGAAGTTGATATGTTGGTGGGAATTGGAATATTCTGTTTCCCCCCTTCCTTCGCGCCCCTCTATATGTATCGTACTATCCGCGGTGCCGGTGGTACGCGTCTCCGGGGTAATATGGCCATGTCAGGGAAAACATACAAAACAAACTTGCAAAGATTGAATTACCAACAACACATACTCCACATCAGAGAAAGAACAAGTACAAACGAAAATTACGTCCAGGTACTAAACTAGTACAAGGACAACAACAAAAAAGGAACAAAATTAAACGAAAACAAAAAAACTCAAGTTGGATTTAGAGAGGATATGCTGCTTTAAGTTTAGATTAGAACAACTATGTACTGATAATAATATACTAAGTTTTCTTTTTTGTTGTATTTTGTGAGAGGCATTTCTTTTCTTCTTCGCTTTATAAGTATAACGTAATTGCAGTTCTACTAGAGGAAATGGGGATTATATAGATGTATAGATACTAAGATAAGTTATTTGAAAATAAGAGGGGAAAACGATTAAATAAAGTTCAGGACGACTTGAGAGGTTCATGTAGGGTTGAATGAATCCAAAAAGAAGAAAGAAGGTGAAGGAAAAAGGTGTGTCCATGGTATACATAAAGTTAGAAAAAGATGGCCGAGTAGATGGTTGAAGCCACGATGGGAGCATGGACGAGATAAACGAAAGATTTGATCCAGACGCCCCAGCGATGCGATTGGAGTAGACAACCGTGATGTTCAAGTGCTTTTACAGACACCTACTCGAGTGCCAACTCTGACCAACGTCTCGACCGAATGATCTACATAATGAACAAAAAAGTAAGGAACAGTAACGTACTCTTGGGAGAAAGATGAGTGATGATTAACTGACTTGAATTGGTCTGTAAATCATCATCCCATTCAATCTTGTCACTTTCAATAATAGTCAAAATGGTCGATCCACCTACCCATTTAAACATATCAAGACAGATTCGATTAGTCTAATCCAAAAAATATGATTATTTTGGTGACAGATCAAGAGAGAAGAGCCAAAGACTTACCAAAGGCGAAGTATCCGATATCCTGGCCTTTTCGAACATGATCGCCTAACTTAATACTCATATTAATACTACCTACCATCCTATAAAAAAACAAACACCCCCCGCCCTCGTGAATAATCAATACATTTATAAGAGAAAGGGAACGGAGGAGGAAGGAAAAAACTTACATGGCACCAACAAAAACACAATAAACTTTATTGAACTTCTCGGTTTCAATGCAAACTACTACTCGAACGTTTTCACCATAGACGTCGATACAAGACCGAATCGCCATTGGATTAACACTTTTTTAAACCAACAACAACAAACAAGAAGCAGCATACACATCAGTTTTGTGATTTTTGTAAGGTAATGAGGAAAGATATGATGACGTACGTGTAGTATTGGCCTTCGATGTATTCCACGTCGATGATCTTACCATCGATCGGCGAGTGGAACCGATGATAATCCTGGGGCGCCAACCTAAAGATCCCGAGCGCCCACTTCTCATCGTCACGACTGAGAGTCTCATTGATAGAGGGATTATTAGTCGAGCTACTGTTGATACTATTGAGACTGTTCTCATTTGAACCTTCGTTGTCATTCTGATCATCTTGTTTTTCGTCGACCGGAAGCGCGGGTTGTGGATCGATGACAGTGGCAGTAACATTTGGACTGTTAGTGTTGGGAATGTTGCGGGTGCCTAGAGCGCCTAAAAGTTTCTGTAAACTGAACCGTCGTCCTTTGATCCAAATCAATTTCGATTGAGTCAAGTCTTTGAACACCATCAACCTGCAATCGGCCACTGAAGTCAAGATCGCGCGATCTTCGGGACTGTCTATCGGACGCGCATTCGGCTTGAGTTCCCGGTAGAAAAACTCGTTGAAGTTCTTGAATTGATTGAGTGGTAATTTGACCTCATTCAAATCTAATTCATGAAAGTTAATGAAGGGTGAAATTTCTTTGATCGAGTCGGGTGAGTTGAACTTATTCCCTTGTTTGATCGTCAATGATTTCAACAACTTCTTAATCTTTTGGTGTTCCATTCGATTCTCTCTCGAGCTACCCGACCCAGATTTATACATCAATCTAATCCCTAATCGAACGTACGCTTGCATCTTCTCCTCGATCAACTTCCCAGTCCTCCTATCTTGTACGATTATATTGGCCGAATTAGCTCCCAATGAGTATTTCCCATTTTGCACTTTGCCGATCACTTTGGTAAACCATTTTCGGTTGGCTTGGGATGAGGTGACAAAGTTACCGGGGGACAAGATATTTTGGAGGGAAGTCCAATCCTGGGATGCGCAGACGGCCATATGGGTTACCATCTCCATCTCGACTTGTGATCGATCTTGTTCCTGATGACAGATCGGACAGCAGGAGATGTTGACGACTTTCTCGGTTTGGAAGCGGGAACGAGTTCGAGTTTGGGTTGGACTGGGTGGATCATAACTGCTGATCTCATCCAGGTTTGTGCTAGATGGCGAGTTGGTTACTGAATCAGTTTGGGAAGGGTTTTTGGTGACATCCATGGGATTGTGTCCGATGAAGCTGATCGAAACCAATGGAGATGTTGGCGATGAAGTGGGATCGGCAATTGGCGAGCCCTCATCATTCCGGTTTTCGTCGTCAAGTGCTTTTTCGGTTGGGACTGCACTGAGACCGACACCGATCTGTTCATCTTCAGCATCGATTCGATTTCTTTCATGAGCGGGTTTCATCAGTTCGGATTCTAAACAGCCGATGACCTGTTCGAATGACAGCGTGTCTTGATCTTGGTTTGATGATTTGCCGTAGCGAGAGAAGAAGCCGGAGATGGTCTCTCGAGTGAGGGTGGAACCGAGTGAGTCGAGCATGGAGGTCAATTCGGTGGTCGAGATGGTGCCAGACTCATCTGTATCAAACTCTTCGAGATATTTTCTCCAAAACACCTGACGCATAGCCGAGTAGGGAATAAATTTAGCCTTGATCGATAGCTTACCGTTGTAGGTTACTTGATTGGCCTCCCCACCGTGCGAGTCGGTTGATGGAGGTGATTTGGAGCTCGAGGATGGCTTGTGGACGACTGGGAGCTCATAATTTGACATCTGATCTCCTATTAATTTTCCGGTCTGATCTAATTGGTAGAGACCAGTCTCAGGGTTGAGTCTCAAATTTTGTTGGGTATCATTGACTAGATCTTCGAGCAGTAGTTCGCTTTCGCCGATATAATCATTCGAGGACATCTTATCCCAATCGTACATACTGAATAGGATGCTAAAACACATCTCGCTCTTCTGAACGTGAAAGAACAACTTTTCATCCCAGACTGGATCCATGGAGTGTCTGATGACTCGAGTTCGAAAGATCTGAGCAGAAAAAAGAAATAGCAATAGTCAATTACAGGGATGGCCTCATGAGAGTCTGTTAAGTCGTTGACGATACCTTTTTCCCGAAACTGATGATAACAAATGGGTCCATGTCGAAGCTTAGCCTGGTAACCGCTTTCCAGTAGGGTAGGCCGGTTGCCCGATTGATTTCGATGGAGCACATCCCGATGGCATTATTGAGGTCGATGCTTGGTACTGATTTGAGTTTGAGGTTCGATGGTTGTGGTAGTCGGTTGGGTGATTTTGATTTGGTTCTGTTTGCTGATGAGGTGATTAGGTTGGATGGTTTGAGTGAGCTTGGGATGTTTTTGACACGGTTGAGTGCGCCCTTGAGTGGTGAGATCTTTGAGGAAGTGTTGATGTTGGTAGTAGGAGGGGGTGGGCTGGTAGTTGATAGTAGTCCTGCTGCAGCTAGTGATGAGCTACTGGATGAGAGTGATGAGGATGAGGAGAGTGAGAGTGAGATGGGGATGGATGAGGATGACATGGTGCTCTGATGATCAGTAAGTTGGAGGTGGAAAGATGGAGTGGGGATGAAGATGGGCTGTTTTTCCTGTTGACCGTCCTCAGCTTCACTCAAGAAACAAACATGAATTTGTAGCTGCTGTGAACACTGAACTGCAAGCACACTGCCACCAAGCAACCTTGAGTTTGTTGGTATGTGAACAGCAGGAGTGGATTGGTAAATTGTATGTTACACTTCTTTCCGACTATCTTGTCGGACATGGTCGATGCCCCAAAACTTATAAGAAGGCTGTCAAACAAATCCATGTGAAGGATCCATCCAAATGACTGGGCTGGGAAGGTATGAGCAGATTCAATCGCAAGGCCACAAAGGATAAGACTTCTTCCAGCATCCAACATGATTAGCTGTGTAGAGCTATTTGAAGAGGCAAACTTGGCACAGGCACATATTCTTTCAGGGAAGCTCATCATCAACTTAACCAAAAGCTGCATTCATCCCTGGAAATCACCAGCGCATACATCCGAATCCTGGCCCTCAAGCCAAAAAAACAAGAATATGTGTCATGAGCAACAAATTCACTCCACCAACCAACACAGCACCATGTCTTAGCTTCCAACACCATCTTGTGTGTAGATGGGCAAGCAGAAGCTCATCCAATTTTGGTCTGTTGATCCAATATTGATGACTAGTATATGCCCCCAAATTTGGAGAGGCTGCTTGTTTTTGCCCCGGATGTTGGGGGTTTTACTTCTATAGCCTTTGCTTTTGAAGGCCATTGAGCCTTCGCTTTTGAAGGTCCCTATGATTGTAAAGTCCAAGCAAATGTCGGAAATGACATTGAATTGTGCAACATCGACGCCGGCGTTAGAAGCCGCATGAGAAATCAATACAAAGGCTGACAGTTTGTTTGGCCCTCTGAGGCCATTTTTTTAGTTATACGTAGATGAGTTCTCAACATCATTAAATGAGGTTTGCAATTTAGCTATACATTGCAGGGCTATAAACCAAGAAATCAAGACCATCAGGCCAATGTCCTCCTGCTCTTATATATAAGGGGGTGGTCTGCACTGAGTCTGCAGTAACAACTGAAAGTGAGTAAGACCTATTTTAATTTTTTGAAGGTATGGTAAGATTTCATTTTTGAAAACCTTGTCCCCTCTGTGATCATCATGAAGTTTTCACCACTTCGCATTGAGTATACAACCAGGTTGGATTCTGGAATGATAGCTAACTTAAAACTTCAGCCAATCCCAAAAACCTTGTGGTTTTGGGATGGCTGAATTCCCAAAGAGGTGTTTTTTTGCACCCACCAATTTGAGCACCTCACAACCTGTACCTATGACAGTACGGGTTCTGATTTGGCTGCTGAGGCCTCGGTGTGGGTCCGGATGTGGGGCTAGCAGAGCCTCCATGTCATGAGTGGATCCTAGTCAAAAAATTGAGAGGATTGCAATGATTCAACTCCCATACACTCAACTCAAAAAATATGGGAGCTGGTTCCTGTTGCCTGAAGTACTGTGGCCATACAGGGCCACATACAGGAGAGAGCAGCACTAAAGAAAGAGGTGCAAAAAGAAATTGTTTAGAAATACAGTGATCCCAAAACCACAAGTTTTTGGGATCAGCTGTTATACACAAGTCAACCTTTCCACCTGAGAGAAGCAGGAAAACCACCTTTTTAAATCATGTGTAGCAGCACCATTTTCCAGCAGGTGATCATGTTTTGGGGAAGTAAAAAATGCACAAGATTGTATAGAATACTTAGGAGAAAGTTGAAGTTGATTAGAATTTAGTTTCTCACCAAATTGGCAATAGCCAAGTGAGCAGATCAAGAAATAAAGTGGGCACAATGAGGATAGAGCTTGTTGAGCTTGATGATATGTTGAGGTGAAGTTGTTGTTAGTGAGATTGGATGAGAAGGGATATGATAGATAAGAGAAAAAGAAAGAAAAGAAAAAGCAAAGCTGGATGGTGTGGTAAGACCTATCAAGGTCATACTTAGTACAAATTAGCTATAAATAGTAGTTTTCATGATGTTACAACCTGATATACTTGTGCTACATAAATCGTTATTTTGTATCCACTTCATAAGATTACAAAATAGTATTGTTACACAACATGTAGTACTTTATAGCTACAACATACTATATTTGTCAGACACTGAGACACTAGTCCAAGTGTCTACATGAGATTGTAATAGAGATGGCCCCGGAGAATCCAGATATCCGGCTGCTTTTTCCAGGGAAATTGCCATCCGAACCTGCATCCGCAGCCACTGGCGGGTATCCGCGCGGGTATCTTGGGATACCCGCCCTTTAAAAGGTCGGCAAGGCACCGGTGTGGTAAGACCAATCAAACCTATAAAACATTAAAAGACATATTAAAAATATTGAAATAGTAAATATAAATTCAAGAAAACAGGTAATAATATCAAATAGTCATGATAAAGCCTTTTATTCTCAAATCATAGTTATTTTTCTTGATAATTTGTTTTATATAAATTTACACTTAATCAAATAAAGGTATAAAACATACAAGGAAGATTAAAAGGTATGTATATATAATTACAAAACAGATCTTAATAAATTATCTCAAATCACACAACATAACAAGATTGGTCAAGAAGGAATTAGAAATAATATAATTTTATAAAGCTGAAAACCATTCAGAAGGAATAGAATAATATAATATTAAAATGTAAAATCATTCAGCAGATCTTATTAGTTAATAAAGCAGATCATTGATAATTAATTACACAGCCATTTATTAATTACACAGCCACTTATTAATTACACAGCCACTCATCATTATTTCACAACATAAAGATTAAAGATCATTAATCACACAGATGACATCATTGACCAACATAGCAGTAGGTTATTGATTTGACAACAGCACTTCATTAACTCCACAGCTGCACATCATTAATTTCACAGCTGTAAAGCATTAATTTCATAGCATGACATCATTAAATTAGCAGTATGAGGTCATTACCCAGTCAGATCAATCATTCTAATCAGTGAAGCTGTTTACCATCCTACCAAAGATTTTGTCTATAAATAGAGGCCCTTCTGGACCAATTTTTCCTTCCTTCCTCCCCATGCTATCTTCATAATAGTAATTAGATATATTACTTGGCTTTCATCTCAGGATGAAACCGGGTTGGGTTCGGGTCGAAGATCTAATTGGTAGAGACCAGTCTCAGGGTTGAGTCTCAAATTTTGATGGGTATCATTGACTAGATCTTTGAGCAGTAGTTTGCTTTCACCGATATACTCTTTTGAGGAAATCTTATCCCAATTGTACATACTTAATAGGATGCTAAAACACATCTCGCTCTTCTGAACGTGAAAGAACAACTTTTCATCCCAGACTGGATTTATGGAGTGTCTGATGACTCAAGGTTGAAAGATCTGAGCCTAAAAACAAAAGAAAGAGCAATAGTCAATTACAGGGGAGGCCTCATGAGAGTCTGTTAAGATTTTGATCATACCTTTTTCCCAAAACTGATGATAAAAAATGGGTCCATGTTGAAGCTTAGCCTGGTAACTGCTTTCCAGTAGGGTAGGCCGTTTGCCCAATTGATTTTGATGGAGCACCTTCCAATGGCATTATTGAGGTCAATGCTTGGTACTGATTTTAGTTCAAGACTTGAGAGTTGCGGTAGCCGGTGGTAGCCAGTGTAAACGTGTTTTTTCTGTGTTTTGACACAGTTTCTGTTGCGCGCAGCATATGCAGATTCCGGGTTTGGACACGTTGTTTGCATTTTTTTGGATTTAATTTTGGGCATTAATAAAAAAACACAGTTTTTACGCGTTTACATGTGGTTTTGCTGCGGCACAGCGCACGCGGTTTCTGTGTTTACACATGGTTTTGTAATTAATTTTTTATGGGTTATCTTTCGAGTTTTTTTTTATTTTTAAAGTTGTTTCCTACACTTTGAAAGGTGTAGAATTTAATGGTAAAAACCATTTTGCATAAAAATGAATTTTAATTATTAATTATTTTTTTTCACTCATTTCTCAATTAATTGTTTGCAAACATGTTTGTACCTTATTTTTTATGTTTTTTTTTGAAACTTTAAATTTGTTTCCTAGGTTTCAATATGTGTAAAATTTAATGGTAATATCCAATTTCCCTAAAACTCAATGGTTCATTTTTAATACTGAAATTAGACATATTTTTCACTTAAATTTCTACAGGTTAATTTTCATTCTTTTTTGACATTTTAATTTTTTTTCCTACACTCTAATACATGTAAAAAATTGTGGTAAAATTCATTTTGCATCAAAATGAAAACTGCATCTTGAATACTGCATTTGACACCATTTTTTTTAATTAATTCTTCACTTTTTCACTTAATTGTTTGCATACATGTGTGTACCTTATTTTTTATGCTTTTTTTGAAATTTTAAAGTTTTTTCCTACATTTTAAAGTGTTTAGAATTTAATGGTAATATCCAATTTTCTTAAAACTCAACATTTCATTTTTAATACTGAAATTAGACACTTTTTTCAATTAATTCTTTACATGTTAATCCTCAGTATTTTTTGACATTTTAAATTTATTTCCCACACCTTAAGACATGTTTGAAATGATGATAACAATGAATTTGCATCAAAGTGAAAACTATCTCTTGAATACTGCATTTGATGTGTTTTTTTAATTAATTCTTACACACTTAATTACCCTTATTTTATGAAATTTTAAGTTTATTTCCTAAATTTTGAAAGGTTTTCAAATTGATGGCTGTATCCATTTTGCATTCAAATAAAATTTGTATATGGTACAAATTATGCAAGAAACAGGGTACACTCATCTATTAAGATTGAAGCTTGTATTTTGAGTGAATTTGGACTTCACCATTCAATTCTAAACATTTGTAAATGTAGGAAATAAATTTAAAATAAAAAAATGCTTAAAATCGGGCCGGTAAAAATCAATCAAAAAAACATTAAAAAAAGCCTGTCCACTGCAGTATTCAGTAACAAGCGCTGATTTTTATGTAAAATGGCTGTTACCATCATTTTTATCATGTATTAAAGTGTGGGAAATAAACTTAAAATGTCAAAAAATAGTGAGAAATAACATGTCAAGAATTAATTGAAAAAAGTGTCTAGTTTCAGTATTAAAAATGAACTGTTGAGTTTTAAGAAAATTGGATGTTACCATTAAATTATAAACACTTTTAAATGTATGAAAAAACTTTAAAATTTCAAAAAAGCATAGAAAATAAGGTACACACATGTATGCAAACAATTAAGTGAAAAAGTGATGAATTAATTAAAAAAAACGTGTCAAATGCGGCATTCAAGGTATAGTTTTCATTTTGGGGAAAAATGGTTGTTACCATGATTTTCTACATGTCTTAAAGTGTAGGAAATAAATTTAAAATGTCAAAAAATGATGAAAATTAAGCTGTAAGAAATTAAGTGAAAAAATGGGTGTAATTTGAGTATTAAAAGTGAACCGTTGAGTTTTAAAAAAATTGGACTGCGCCATTAAATTCTACGCATATTAAAACCTAGGAAATAAATTTAAAATTTTAAAAAAACATAAAAAATAAGGTACATACATGTATGCAAACAATTAATTGAGAAATGAGTGAAAAAAAATAATTAATAATCAAAATTCATTTTTATGAAAAATGGTTTTTACCATTAAATTCTACGCCTTTTATAGTGTAGGAAACAACTTTAAAAATTCAAAAAAGTCAAAAAATAACCCATAAAAAATTAATTACGAAACCGCGTCTAAAAGCGGAAACCGCGTGTGCTGCGGCGCATCAAAACCGCGTCAAAACGCCGAAAAACTGCGTTTTTTATTAAGGCCCTTCTTAAATTGTGGGAAATAAATTTAAAATGTCAAAAAATATTGAGAAATAACATGTCAAGAATTAATTGAAAAAAGTGTCTAATTTCAGTATTATAAATGAAACATTGAGTTTCAAGAAAATTGGATTTTGCCATTAAATTCTACATGTATTAAAACCTAGGAAATAATTTCAAAATTTTTAAAAAGCATAAAAAATAAGGTAAAAACATGTATGCATACAATTAACGGAAAAAATGAGTGAAAAAATTTAATAATCAAAATTCATTTTCATGGAAAATGGTTTTTACCATTAAATTCTACACCTTTTATAGTGTAGGAAAAAAATTCAAAATTTCAAAAAAACTCAAAAATTAATCAAAAAACCGTGTATAAACGCGGAAACTGTGTGTGCTGTGCCGCAGCAAAACCGTGTGTAAACGCACAAAACCCGTGTTTTTTTATTAATGCCCAGAAAATATGGCGTAAAAAATGAAATGAAAAAAATGAAAAAAAACACGCCCAAGCGCGGAATCCATGTGTGCTGCGCGCAGCAGAAACCACATTAAAAGGTGGAAAACCCATGTTTTGTTATTAAGGCCCTTAAATATAAAACAAAGAGCCCTTAAATATAAAACAAAGACCTTGGAGTTATAATTCATTGGCTGAGACTCATCCAATTTAAATTGGTTGAGTGCATCCCAGTTTCACTGGGATATCTTCAACCCAGCCAGTTATGCTGACAGTGATAAGCCAATTTCATTAGGGGGTATCAAATATAAGGCCCTGTTTGGCCATCCGTAATTTGTAATTTTGAGTCAAGGTTTGGTGGGAGTTTGTGCAAAAATTTTGTATTAGGACAGTTCACATTTCAAATTTTTTAGCAAAGTTTTTATTTGAAGTTAGCAGAGGGAATTGAGATCTCACACTTAAAATCAGCCTGCTGCCAGTGCAAGTTTGGACGGATTTCAAAATCAGCAAGCAGAAAGTTTATTAAAAGTTAGCAGTGGAAAGTGTGAAATGTGAACTGGGCTATTGGGGGGTATCAAATAGGAAATCCACCATTAGAAACCAGTCACTTTTCCCAAAAAATGTTTTTGCATCAAAGGGCCCCAAAGGGGGTTAAATGAATAACAAACATGTTTAAGAAAGGGTGAATTTTTTCAAACCAGTCAATTAAATAATGGTGGATTTGGTTATATTTGATACCCCCTATTGTTTTAAAGGGGGTTCACAATTGAACTTTAAGGCCATTTTTAAGGTCTCTCTGATCATAAATTTATAAATTTTTTGTGATGTACAGAGGGTTCAGAAACCAGTAAATTGGAAAAACTCAAAAAAAATATTAAATGTTGCTCATAAACACCTTAAAAATCACTCTAAAGTTCAATCATGAACCCCCCTATTGCATGGTCCAAATCCGTGCCAAACCTTAGCCAAATCACAAATCATGTTTGTGGCCAAACAAGGCCTAAGAAATCCACCATTAGAAACCAGTAAATTTTTCAAAAATAAAATTTTGCATCAATGGGCCCCAACACTGCAAGAAAAAGTTAGGCAACTGTGTACAGTTGACATGTGATATTACAATGGTGCCTTTGTAATATCACATGTCAACTGTACACAGTTGCCTGACTTTTTATTGCAGTGCAAAAGGGGTCAAATTAAGAACTGACATGTTTAAAAAAATGTTTCATTTTCCAAAACCAGTCAATTAAAAAGTAGTGGATTTGGTTATATTTGATACCCCCTATTAGGACGGTTCACGTCTGAACTTTGAGGCAAATTTAGTGATATTTATGATTAAAATTTTGCAAATTTATCAAAAATCTCAAATTCCTCCAATCTTGATGGTTCATGAAATTTTACAAAATTCATAAAATTTTATCTTCAAGTGTGATCAAAGTTGCCTTGAACTTCAGACGTGAACCGGCCTATTGGATGTGATTTGATCTCATTTTTTGCTTGGCAAATTTACTGCCCTTTAAACCCCATCTTTATAAACACATGAAGATATGAGGTGGGGGCCACACCTTGCTGGCATAGTGGATATATCACCCCACTTCAAGAGCCCATTGTGTTTTGACTCTTGGGTCCTGGAATTGTAGCGGGCCAATTAGCTCAGCTAGTTATGAAATGCAATGGGGTAAGTCTTGAGTTTATGCCAAGGTGTGTAAGTATGTATCTACTCAGAAAAAAAAACCCTGAAAGTTAGGAAGTTTGTAAAAATCTCCACCATGATTTTTCTGCACCCATGGTAGGATGACTGACTGACTGCTTGGGGCAACTGTGAGTTTCCATGGTTGGGTGAGAGTGTGTGTGCACTTTCAAAGCTGTATGGGTTTGCATCGAGCTGTAGAAAATCCCAGACCCCTCTGTCATCGCTTCCTGATCTGGAACCTGTGCCGAGTCCTGCCGCTTCCGAAACCATTTCTGCATCCCGATCGAACACGTCCGCCGGAATGGAAAACCACAAGACGATCAACGGCCATTCCTCCCTTTCTCCCCGGGACCGGTTCTTGCAGTTCTGGCCGCAGGTTAAGAAGGATGTGGTCGAGTCAGCACGGCTCGAAAATCTACCCTCCGATGCCTTGGATTGGTTCGAAGCTGTGCGTGCTTGTTCTCCCGTCAAACGTTTTCGCTTCTTTGTCATGTCGGCCTACCACTATGTGTAGTCTCGCTCGTTTGGCAATCTAATCTGCTTCGAGATCTAAGAAAAAAGAACAAATGCTTACTGATTGCATTCGTAGAACTTGGAATATAATACTCCTGGTGGCAAATTAAATCGAGGGACATCAGTGGTGGATACTCTTCAAATTTTGAAAGGGCGTGAACTCGACTCAAAGGAATACCATTCAGCTGCTGTCTTGGGCTGGTGTGTTGAGCTGGTAATTTCATCCTCCTTTATGTTCTTCTCGCTCGTTAGATTAAGTAAGATTATCTCTGTCTACCTTGAGTCGCCCAATAGTTGACCACAGCATTTTTTTTTCTTTTTTTTTCCCCCGTATAACAAACGCAATGGAATTTTCGGCCGTCAGCTCCAAGCGTACTTCCTCGTGGCCGATGATATGATGGACCACAGCTTGACGCGGAGAGGACAGCCGTGTTGGTATAAAGCAGTTAAGCATCCCTTCCTATAAGTATCTCAGGCCGGAAGCAAGAACTTATCAATCTGCTTGCCTTTTTCTTCCCTCAACACCTCAGCCCAAAGTTGGAAACATCGCGATCAACGATTCGTTCATGTTGGAAGCTTCAATCTACGTCTTACTGAAGAAACACTTCCGTAATCATCCGGCTTATGTTACCCTTCTTGAATTGTTCCATGATGTACATCTTCATCTACTTATCTTGAGTCCTTCATGAACCTTTTAAGTACTCTTCACATTAATTAGCTATTTTTTTCTTGCATTTTTTTCCAGACCACCTACCAAACCGAATTAGGTCAACTAGTCGATTTATTAACCGCTCCTGAAGATTCTGTTGACTTGTCAAAGTTTTCGGTAGAGAAGTGAGTTATTAAGTGCTTTTTTTTCGTCCGATTGACATCATTCAAACGCCTCAAAACCTTTCATCTGACCGATTTCCTCTGATCTTTTGCTCTAGACACCATCTCATCGTAGTTTACAAAACCTCATTTTATTCGTTCTACTTGCCTGTGGCATTGGCAATGAGGCTACATGGAATCACCTCGCCCTCTGATCCAGGGTCGACCGGAAGCTCATCGATCGACCTCTATAAACAAGCCATGGATATTCTATTGCCGCTCGGCGAATACTTCCAAGTTCAGGACGACTACTTGGATTGCTATGGCGACTCGGAGGTGATCGGAAAGGTCGGAACAGACATTGTCGATAATAAATGCTCTTGGAATATCAACGTCGCTCTGAAGTATTGCACTCCAGAACAGAGGAAGATTTTGGAGGTGAGCTTGCTTTCCTTTTTTTTTGGTGTTAATAAAGAACACAAGATTTATCGAAAAATCGAAAATGTTTACCATCAAAAAAACAGTCACATTATGGACGAAAGGACAAAACGAGTGAAGAAAAAGTGAAAGAGATTTTCAAATCCAAGGAAGTCAATTTGACAGAAAGATTCAACAAATTCGAGGAAGAATCGTTCACCAAATTGAACGGCTTAATCGACCAAATCGACGAGACTTTGGGCCTCAAAAAAGATCTTTTCCGTGCCTTCTTAGCCAAGATCTATAAACGCATCAAATGAACTTCATCTCGCACCTTTTGTATTAAACAGACCTCGATACTATATCAATATGCCTATATACCAAGACCTACTATGCGACCTTAGTTTATTTCGCTGATTTTAATAGTACATGGTTCAAACGTTTGATCGACTTCTTGTTTGTTTGTTTCTTGCTTTTGATTACACAAAAGGTGACAAAGCTTCTTGGATCACATAATAGATTACATTATCCATACAAAATACAAGTAGATAGATCAAGTAATAGATAAAAAAGAAGCAAGAAGTGAAGAAAGCGCATTGATCTGGTTTACACACGAATCAAGAGGCCTGGAGAAAGGAAGGACTGCTCAGGTAGTGAATTGATGTTTATCAAGCGTCACTTGAAAGATATTTTAAAGCTTTCGGTCCAATGTTTGCAACCCAAGCTTGATATCATCTAGCGGCGCTCATGTGATGTTTTACTTGACCTTGAATGAATATGTCGGGGCTTTTGAAACACCCAGCACCTAATAATTTTCCATTTAAATGGAGATTTGCTTGTAAAAGTGCTGGGGAGAATTATATTGGAAAGGCATGGATCAGCTGGGAGGACGAAGCGTGTCGACATTGAATGAATGGGGTTCAGTAACAACGTTCTCCAGCCAGACAGCAGAGTGAGACGGCTTCCTCCCGCCTCGGGCCATCCCAGGTTCTATTATCCGAACCTTCCAAAAGCGGGGACTAGGTGTCACAAAGCGTCGGCGATCGTGTCTTCGAAGCATCGTTGCTCCAGATGGCTATCTCACCCACAGAGCTCATCAGAGTTCAGGACAACGACGGCTTACCCTGGCATCTCACATTCAATCTTGGGCACAGCGCAAGACACCTTGCTCAAACCGAGAAGGGCCATACCGGCCAGGTTGTAAAGGCTTCTCTGATCAGCTGGATCGAATATTTCCTGATCAAAAGGATATGCATTTTTTCCTCCATCCGACAACTGGAGATTGTCGATTAGGTGCTTTGTGGCGAAAACACAAGCTCTCAGTAATTGAAACAGGATCCCTGACACGTTGCATCGGCGTTTCCCCCTATAAGCCATGGCATCAGGGTCGAGGTCGAGGATAAAATGGGGCGTTCGGTCCGCAAAGTCTGAAGCTGTCAGCCGGCTGGCGTATGTGTAGCTTCAGAAAACAATGTCTGTTCGTCTTGGTATTTGTCTGTTCTTCCTACCTCTAGAACCATGGATGGCTTGCAATGCTTCAGTGGGCCCAAGATGGCAGGAAACCTTGGATCAGCGTTCTAGCTGGGGAGATTATGATGCCTCCAACATCGAAGATAGTCTTGATCTCAGTCTAGCACCGCCTCAACTGCAAAAATCTAACCAAAATTATATCACCACATCCTCATCTCAAGCTCCATCCTCAGAAACAATGCACCCCAATTTTGAAAGAGATTTTCTGACTGACGTTCCGGTAACGATGAAGAATCAGAAGAGTCAAATCAACTCTGGCCAAGAGGTAACTGAGAACCCTGGCCCATCTACCTCATTATCCCTAAGGGCTTCATCGGAACCAAGAGAAATTAAGAGGGAGTTCCGTCACCAGCTTGCCATTCAACCTGAGCAAGCACACGGCCCCACTGTATATCTACCTACTTGCCTATTCTCAGAAAATTTTCCGATACTAAAACCTTTTAGAAGAAGCTTCCAAATTCATGCAGCACATATCAGCAGTCAACCAGAAGCCATCGACTCCATGAAGATAGATTTTGCCAATCAAGCTCCTTTTACCCCTTCATCTTTAGGAACCCCAGTAGAAACCTTTGGATTTCCATCAAAGACTTTTAATGATGCTCCGGGGCCCAGTAATCTTGGAAATCACATCTTGAAATCCCTGAGAAATAAAAGACTAGATTTTAGGTATGACAGCCATCAGGAGAGGTTACCAAAAAAGTACTGTGATCGGAATCCTATAAGAATTGAAGTTCCAGGCTCACAATCCCATCAAGGTCCTGTTCAACAGAGTTTGAAGTTTTCCTTGTTGCCAGTAAAAGTTGATCTTCAAAGCCAACATGAGGGACTGAGCCTAGAACAGAAGGAGAAACTTTTTGATGACTCAAACTTGAATAGGGCCACATCAAACTCAGAGCTGGGGGCAGCGCCAAACCCTCAAGATAATATACAAAGGCCTACCAGGAAATCAAAACAACATGCATTTCCAAGGAGTGTTAAATCTCACAGAACATCAGACCCTAATGATCACCTTCATTATCAAGCAGAACGGCATTTGAAATTTGGTCAGCCTTTTCCTGAGATTAATAGTTTTGGAAGGCATTCAATCAAATCCACAACCATTATTCAACCAAACAAAGCCAGTATGACTGTGCAACAGCAAAAGATTGAGCTGAAAGATATCTTTAAGTTTAATGTGGATGTATTTGAAAATGATAAACATAATTCTGAAAGAGATAAGCTCAAAGCAGAAAAAATTGTTTCAGCAACCAAAAGAATTGGTCAAGATAACAACCTGAAGATTCCAAAATGTAACCCACAAGATGTTATTGAGTTTATTTGGTCCCTGTCAAGAAATAAAATTTATGAGTATAATAAAAAAGACACTACTAGTCAACAGGATGAATGCTTATCAGCAACTGCTGAAGAGAATATACATCAACAAGGACTTGCTGATAAAATCCCAATACTCAAACACCCTTTGAAAGCAGATCGAAGAAATCTGAAGAGTTTTGCGTTAAACCAATTGAAATCACAAGAAACCTGCTGGTTTAGATTTTGGACAGAAAGGACTGGGATGGATATTGTTGAAACTAATTCACACCAATTGAAAACAGTAAACAGAAACAGCAATTTTTCTGGGAGGGATTTTGCTTTGCTTCTTTTTCACATTGATATGATTGGGACTATCCTACAGGAGCACTGTTCAACTGAATCAGGAATTTCTGAAGATTATGGGTCAATCCTTATCATAGAGGCATTGAATTTATTCAAACCAAGAATCCAGGAAAATTCATTAAGAAGTTACAAATTTGGATCAGATTTACTGAAAGGATGTGATGATTCCTCCACTCATGATCCCACTTCCAGGACAAACAGTATGGTTTTTACATGGGTTTGGGATTGCATAAAGACATTTCTCATCAAATCCAATCAAGAAAAACTCAAGAAGATTTTCTTGACAGATGAGAAGACTAGAATCCATCGCCTCACTCAAGGTTTCTTTGCTGACATCTTTTCATACTCAATTGAAAAAATGAACAGAAGATTAATAGAATACTACCCAGATGATTCAGCATACTAATATCTATATCTTATGTGTTTTGAATGATTCAGATATCATGCCAAATCACTTTTGCTGATTTTTGAGTACACTCACATACATCAAATTGCCAGATATTAATTTCAACTAGGGTAGATCTTCTGATCAAGTAGTAACATCCATATAATCACATTTTTCTGATTGAATGTTGCATGATTAGTTGTATCAATATCCCATGAGTCCAAATCCTCAATGGATCATTTAAGTTCATTTTTAGAAATTAAAATAAGAGACTGACAAAACTAGAGATGGCCAATTGGTGTGAATTTGAACAATTTTGGAGACTTAGACCCAGACCTGGGCCCTGGCACCTGACATTGGGTACCAGAGGCACCCATAGCAGATACCAACATTACCCACCAACCCAGCTTGGTTGCCACAGAAACTACTGAGCTGGGTTTTTAATTGAAATTATACCTGCAGAGAAGAATTTGGAAGGGCTCCCAACACCTGAGTAATGCCCTGGGGACAGCCTTAAGCAATGGCACTACAAAAAATACCAGTTTTGCCCCAGGAAAAAATGGCAATTTGGGTGGTGGAAATTAGGTCAATTTCCTGAGTTTTTTTTTTTACAAAATGACTCAGGAGTAAAAATTAGGCTAAAATGAGCTATTTTAGCCAGAAAATAAAAATGCCTCAAATGAGCTAAAAATTAATTTTGGAATGTTTGAGGCATTTTTATTTTTGGGCTAAAACAGATCATTTTAGCCTAATTTTTACTCCTGAGTCATTTTGTAAAAAAAGCCTCAAGAAATTGACCTATTTTCAACCACCTAAAGTGACATTTTTTTCCATGGGAGGGTACTTGCCCGCAGGTGCTAGGTACAGCCAAAGAGGTACCTGTTGGCCATCTCTAGACAACACTGATTCCATATCATTCTTGATATTTATAGTTTTGTTTTCCCTATCTCCACAAGAGTTGAACTTGAGGTCTCATTATTTCACTTGCAACTATAGTCAACTCCGCATCAACACATGCCCCTCAGTGGACACAAAATGCTATGGGTGAGTACAGAGCATGGGTTGTTGCAGATGGTTTTACACTGAAGTTAGTAATTTTGTGAACCATTTCACTATGGCTTAGTGGAGAGTATGGGTCAACAAGGGTATGTTTTACAGCAGAGTTGACTCAAGTAACTTGAGGACTCTGTAGCCTGTGGTGTAACTTTGGGAAGAAAAGGGTGAACTAACCTTGAACATGAAGAGTGTCTTGAATTGTATACAAACTGCGTTTCTTAACGTTACACTTGCAAAATCAACTTTTGTCAGGCATCAGAGTTTCATATAATGCACTTTGTGAATTCAAGTTTAATGCATCAGGTTAACAAAGCTGCACCAGGATCCGGAGTGTTGCGCCGCTGTGGATGCTCTGTGCCAGTTTTGTGGGCCACGCATTGTGTGAGCTCTGATTGGTCAGCAGGTGCTAGTGACTGAACTCCTGTCGAAGTGCTTATCCACTCTGCTGGCTTTAATACTTCGACAGTCAACAACAACAGTCAAACAGTCAACAACAACCAACACAACAGTCAACAACAACCAACCAACAACCAACCGAAGAAACAATCGAAAGCCGATGTCATCCTCAATACCCTACTCCCTCATCCAGAAACTTACTCAGCCATCATCATCATCTTCATCACTACTCAGTCGAACGAACAGACTGTTTCACCATCAAAGCCCATCGACGAGCATCCATCCTGGACAAACTGGCATCCTACTCCGAAGATCTATCAGCCATCGATTCTCTCACTCGCAACCCTCCTCAAGCCATCAGGAGCATCCAAGCATCTCTCTCAATCAAACTAGAAATCTTGAAATATCAAATTCCAATCAAGTCATCCATCAATCCATCTCAAGCGTCAATCAGAACAACCTCAAACTCCCCCGATCCTCCTCCTCAACAATCTCGCAACCCTCAGAACCAAGTCATGAAGATATCCTCATCAACTCACTCCCCACTTCATACAACTCCTCCTCAACAACAACAACAGCATCATCATCATCATCGCTAGAACCTCCATCATTTGAACCACTTCAGACCCAGCGGGAGACCACATCGAGTGCCCCGAACTTAACCCAACAGAGTCCTACAAAAGCACCAACTTCTCAAGTCAAAAGAACGACTCGGACGAGCAAGCCAGCCAAGCAAGTTATCAACCTGGTCAGTCTCAACCCTCTTATCCGCTTCCTCACGACTGATGTTTGTTCAAACCACTTATACAACCTAATCTGTTTATTTTGGTAGACTCCTAGAGCTATTGGCCATCTGTCGACTCTATTGGATGGTCCTAATCCGAAACTGATCCGGATCGGGGTGAAGAACAAAGGATGCGCAGGGATGGCATACAACCTAGACTATGTCGACCAGGTACGAGCTACGTCTTCCACCTACACCCAAATCATCCGTCCCGTCTCGTCTACTTTGCTGACTTTTCGTTTTCAAACATTTTGTATGTCCAGCCGGGAAAGTTCGATGAGGTGGTGGTGACGAAGAATGAAGAGGGAAAAGAAATCAAAGTGTTGATCGACTCGCGGGCCTTGTTTAGTATCATCGGGAGTACAATGGATTGGCAGGAGAGCAAATTGGGCAACAAATTCGTCTTCGATAGTCAGTCTCCCTCTTTCTCTCTGAGTCCAATAGTCTGCCTCTCTATCTCCCCAACAATCCGAACCGTCATCTGATTGGTCGCTGGATCTTGCTTTGTCTTTTGTTGAATTCTTGCTGTGCTATGACAGATCCGAACATCAAAGAAGAATGCGGCTGTGGCGAAAGCTTCTTAGTTTGAATAACTTGCCTTTTTCCCCTCCTTTCTCACTTCATCATTCTTATTCTACATTCCTATATATATATATATTCATCAAGCTTCCAAGCATGCAGATGAGATGATGGAAAGCCTCCCTTTTTCTTCTCTTCTCACAAATGTTCATTCAGGAGTTCCAAACAAACAAGATCCTCTTCATTTGTATATCATACTTGATCCATCCATCTCCCCACTCCTCCGTATAAATTAATCCTCTATTTTTTTCCAACTTACCAAATCTCTCTTCCAATTGGTGCATTTAAGAATTCCTCATTCAATCTCAACTCTTTCTGGATGGTCAAAAAGAATTCACAAAAGGAAAGGGTATCATGCAGTCATTATCTAATTAGTAGTAAACATTTGTAGTATGAGATGTATATATACAAAGACACATAAGCACTCTTGTAGCCAATTGAGTAGATCTATCTTCTTCATCAAGATATGCTGCCATACTATGACATAGTTTTTTTGCTTCAAAGGGTGTTTGGTATTTATGTACAGTGACCCTGCTATGTAAGCATAAGGATGGTTGACACAAATCCTATGCTTACATGGAGGTATGCTTCTTATGGAGGTAATTTTACTGCAAAACCAAGAAAATGGTTGCTGGAAATCAATATTTATGCTATGCTTACAACGCGGTTATGCTTATATCGTGTATGCTTACAAGGCGGGGTCACTGTAGTGGAAGAATATCTATCAGAGTGCGGCTGCAGAGGCTTGCCAGATCCATATAAAGAAAATAATGGCTGACACTTGAATGGTGTTCCCACAAGCAGCCCACTTACAAATCTTTGTTGCTCATTCATCCATAAACACAAGGCAAAAGCTGAAGATATGTTGTGAATTTGGTTTTTTGATGCTTTGTTTGGCTGTCCATGACCATCATAAGCAAACATGGCAGATATTTTGGGGGTGTACAGCTTATGACTGGGCCTCATGAAATGTGTCTAGGAGTTCACATCTTGTTGACTCGTATATATGATGGGAGTGGGCCTAGTGAGAGACATCTCCCTGCTATTTGAAAATTGTCGGGGGGGGGCCCAAAATTTTGCATCACAAGCCCTCACAGCAACATTGAGCAGGATTTTGAGACTGCACCTTTTGCAAAGCCTGGAATTGTCAAACCAAAGGTTTGATTTGACAATTGCAGATGACTGTTGATTGCAATCATGCACAGCCAATGAGTAGATTGGGGCAATAGTGTTCACAGACTTGTGTGTCACACATAGATCCATTGATGTCCTTATAGATCCTAAATATACACACTTGGTATCTCAATCCATAGTACTCCATTCAGAACTTTTGAGAGAGTAGACCCAAGTCTTTCTATATTTCAACCTACATTGTGTATAATATATCATGTACAAGAATTTATTAGGAAACATTAGACATTGGAATTGTTTTCAGAAATTGTAGCTACGGCTTTTGGGATTGGTACTTTTTTTGGACCTAGCAAAATATATTCAATCACACTCAAATCATGATTTAGAAAGAGAAAAAAGACTACTGTTTCCTTTTGTTTTGTCATTTGTTTGTATGTAGATACCAGAAAACATTCTTCATTTCATTTGATTGTTTGGAGAAAGAACGGTGACCTATGAATAAGATAAGAGTAAAATTGAGAGGAAAAATTACAAGATATCATACCAATATTTTTCATTGGGGCTGTTGTCTGAACAGATGATTGTTGCTTTGCCAGCCTATGCCTCCCTCAACAATTTTGATGATGAAGACAAGGGTAATGTTTTTAGTCTCAGAAAGTTTCTCACCAAGCCAGCTCACATGGGGACAATTATGTCAATCCAGCATGATCATCTGGATAAACCTTATTTGTGGTCTGTTGAGGTGTAACCAATGTGAACCATCCTAACACCAGGAAATGTATGAGGTCAGCAGGTGTCAGGTGACATGAAGTGACATATGTTACAACTCCATTGTTACTCTGGTGCTTGTCTGCTTAAATAAAAATGTTCCCTTTGTGATCATCAGGGAGTCCCAACTCTTTGACTTTGAAGTAACACTGGAATAAAGGCAGGAGTCAGCTTCATGTCACCTGACATGGACTGCCCTCAAATTTTTCATGGTGTAATTCCTTTCTATTCTAACCTACTCTAGAATGGAGAGCCAGAGAAAAAAACACAAGATAGATTTGCCAAAGCTTGTACAAGTTTATCATTTCTTTGTCCTAGCTACAGAGAGCTTTTAAAAAAATGAAAGGGGAAAGGAAAGGAGAAATAATGTAAATCGGACAAGCTTCAAGAAGATCAGATGAAACAAACTGAATGATTTACATATCAAAAAAAAAAAAATCTTTTGGATTCGAATTTGGAGTGATGAGAGAGGTCCTACATACAGTTGATTGTGGGGATTTATTTTCCAGATTATGGTTTGTATGTATATCCAGGCAAAGTAAAGGTATGATTGAAAATCTGTTGTTTTCTTAAGGTATATATATATATATATGTATAGTACACACGTATGTTAATGAAGCTATCTCAAGCCTTTATCAAGTAAATCTTTTGCTTCGTTGATTTTACTGGCCATGTATGGGCTTCCGCCTCGGTCGGGATGATTTGCCAACATGATTTTCCGATGTGCATCTTTCAATCGGTTCTTTGTGACTTGAGATTCTCTAGAAAGTGGGAGAGAGGGGTAAAACAAGAGATGGATGGATGGATGGATGGATGTGAGTATGAATTGACGAATTGTTCTGATTGATGGATAATCGTACTTGAGACCCAAGATATCCCTTGCCTCTTTCCGATCCATCTTGGCTTGGAATCCACCGATATGCCAATCGCCTGTTAGTTCCCCAATCTTCTTAGCTCGAGGTTTCCCGGCAATCATGTTCATCATGGGCGAGAGCACCTGTCCATTTGATCTTGCTGTTCGTAGTGAATACCTTAGTAGGACTACTCCTCCGATGCCCTGTTGAGCGGATTAGTTTCATTGAGTTCGACTGCTGTTATCGTCAGTTTTCAAGGCGAAATAGATATCCGGAAGGACTCAACTGAAGCGGCGGCGATTGCTAGCGGGGTGAGCATGATGATTTAATCCTTCCTGGGTGGTTTCGGTTTATGTGGTCGGCAACTTTGCTATGTATGTACAAAGTGGTTTCAGAAATAGGACGGGAGCCCCCCTCCTGGGCTGCGGTGTGAGATGCATATAATGAATATTCAAAATAGGAACAGTCAAGAAATTTCCAAAGTTTTGCTCCTACTAAGGTAAACATTCATCGCAAGAACTACACACTCAGACCGAAATAGCAGAAGATGGCCAACCAGTTTATCAAGCGAACACAACTACTCAGAACAATCACCATCAACCACCAACCAAACATATCAACCCACCTCAACCGACTCACTCAGCCATCATCTGTTTATTACCAGCAGACTGCCACCATCACTCCATCTTCATCATCCTCAATAGCAACAACCACAGCCAGTCAACCATCACCAGATCAAACACAACGGATCATTCATCAGCATCAGCCACCACGAACACTCTCAGAACTAAGAACAGCCTCAGAACCACGATCAGCCTCAGAACCACGATCACTCTCTGAGGACGAAATCACCACTTTCTATCAGGCCCTAGTCTCATCCCCTCAACCACTCAATCCAACCCAACCATCAACTAGGCCTGAACTGACACTCAAACCAGAAGATCTCAACATCCTACTCGAACTTGAAAATCCAGCCAACTTGGGATCAGAACGAAGGAAGCATCTCATCCGCAATCTATCTCCCATCCAATCATCAAAACTCTCAATCCCCGAACGTCGTCTTCAATCGGTCTCGATCAGCATTCTAAAGAAAGAGAGGCCCTGGTATGCTCTCCTTCAATCTGCTGTTAGTCCTTTCTGCTACCCTCTAGCAGCTAGACTTTCATCTCTCATCTGAAACCATTAGACTTTGGCCTGTGAAATAGCGTATTGACACTTCATTCTTCCTTCATCTGTGTTTTTGTGTCGTCTAAGGCAATTGATGAAGATGTCGAGGATTTGAAAGTGATCTTGAAGTCCCTCAAGGGTTTTGGGCATGACCAGACTTTGCTGTTTGGGCATACCTTGTCTCTCATCCAATCCGCCCAAAACCCCGATGAGGCCGACAGGATGAGGTATGCATTACTTGAGGCGGGAGATCAACGTGAGTGAACATATCAAAATTGGTAAATTTCTGTGTCAACCCTCTCATTCGCCTTCTTTTTTTTCATCTGCGGAACATCTAGTGGGCCTTTCGCCCTCATCAGCTATTCACCACCTCGAAGTTCATCGGATACTTCAGTCAACAACCACCGAACCGGCAACTGCCTTCCAGAAGGCAGACAATTATGTCCGGCGACTGGAGAAAGCCGGGGATCCGCCTAGCCCCGAGGTTTATCTACAGCTGTTTGATTTTATTAATCATGTTTCTATGAAGCGAGTTAACTCGATCGACCTGTTCAATCGATCGAGACTTCTGGCCCATCCTAATCCACCGATCTCGATTTGGAACGCCCTTCTGCGGGCATTAGCTACTGGCGCAAGCACTCAACCCGAGAGGGCCATGGACGCATTCTTGGATCTTAAAGCAAGTGGCCAGACTCCGACAGTAGAAACATATAATCATTTGATCCGCTCGATGATTCGTGCCAGACGGTCTGCCATTGGGACTTTCGATCGTAAGACCGGCTATGAAAAATGGTACTACAGCGCCCTAAGACTGTTGAAGCAAATGATCGACGATGATGGTCTGAGGCCGAATATGGGCACTTTCTTGGTTCTCTTGGAAGGTGCTAAGCGAGTGGGCGATTTGGAAAGAGCCAAGTGGACTTACGGCTTGTTTCTGCAACAGCTCGAACACGAGAGGCATAACCCGTTGGTCAACCTCCAGGAGTTTGCCTGGATGCACGTCTCCGCTGCAACCTCCTTATTCCAGACTTATGCCTCCTTTTCACCAGCGAACAAGTATCTGCTCAGCAATCAAAAAAACAAGAAGAAGAATAAGACGACGAGTGACGTGGCTTCCCAAGAAGTTATTCAATCATCCTTGAACGATCCCCAGTTTTTCAAAAACATTCCTCAAACGACCAACGATATCATTAGAGAGATCGAGCTGATTCTCGCCCAATTCATCAATCCAACCCATCAAACGCATCTTCGCACTCGTCACCGAGCCGACCAACGACAACTATCAATGCTAATAAGCTCCTACCTCTCCGTATATTCTTCCCATTCCACGATCGAAGAACTTTACTCGAAATATACCACCTACACCCATCCGATCAGCGACTTCAATCACGACCAATTCGGTGCGGTGCGGATCAGCTGGACTTATTTGATCCTCTTGGAGCGCTGCGAGTTCCTTAGGTCTGCACAGAAAGCCGGCCAAGTCGGTAGGGAAATCTTCCACGAATGGGAGGCTAATCAAACCCCATTGTCTCAGTTTGAGTTGGTCCAATCTGTTGAATCTCGATTGATCAGTCAGATTTGGGCCGCTTGGATCAGGCTACAAGCTAAGTTGAGTGACTTCTATATCATTGTCATTTTTTTTTCTCAGGTTTGAATAGATCCTTTCACTTGTCCATCTCTACTGGAACACTACGTTTATTGACTTTGTTTACTTTCTTCTGGTAGGTATGGGTCCACGGAAGAATCGATGAAAGAGTTGGAACGGTTCTACAAAACTTACCCACCCAGGTCGCTCCCGAAACCCAAAGCCCCAAAGGACGAGGATGGAAGAGAGGAAGAATCGCGGGCAATAACAGCAGCTTATCATCCTTCATCCGATATCCTCTCGAAATCCAATCATATCCTCAACCTTCCTTATCTGAGCTTCCAACACTTGGAAATCCTGCATCATAAGCTGAAAGTTAGCGAGGATCTTGGGGCCATTAATCGGCTCAAAACTATCGTCAAAAAGTATGCTCGTTTTTTTTTCCCCCTTTGTTTTCTGTTGCACTGGCTTTGGATGCTTGAAATCTAATTCTTCTTGTCCGTTCTCAAAAAAAAACAGATACGAGAAAGCTAGGAGAAGTGCGTATGAATTGAACGAGCTCGAGAGAATCAATCGGATCCAGAAAGGATACTAAAGCCCACATATATATTACCCCCTACCTTAACCAGCAAATATCCCCCTGCTTTTGTTTCATTTTTTTTTTCTACATTTTGTGTGTTATGGAATTCACACATTGTCATGAGTGCAATCATCCTGCTATTGATGATTATGGATTTGTTGTTACACAGATGAAAATTGTCATGGCATGGCATATTGCAAAGAGCATGGCCGAGACACGGCCGGCAAACTTACTTAACTAAGTCCCCCCCTGGTGGCTAGCTTAACACAATCCCCTCGTTCCAGAGGGCCGGGGGCACCTCGCGAAGCGAGCCTCTGAAAGAGGGGCTTGGGAGTGAAGTTGAAATATCAGCCTGGAAGCTCAGGCTTTTTGTGGCTTTTTTTGGCCTTTGCACACAAAATCCCCTATAACTCAGGAGAAATCTGGATGATTTTGATGCCGTCAACTTCTTCGGATACCTGAGCTTCTTCCCATTCTGCCCATATAATTTTTTGATAATTGTAGTGAGTATAAGTCATCCGTCCCTGAGATGCCAATTGGGGGACTTGGTCCAAATACAGTGGTAATCTCTGGGAAGAAACGGGAATCTCTATGACCATAGTTGGGGCCCATCATGAAACTTCTGGCCAAACGGCCTTTGTGGAACGCTGTTGATGGGGGCAGGTGAGGGCCCATGGCCCCAAGAGTTATACGGAAATGATCAGAAGAAGCCGGCCTCTCAAATGGTCAAACAGGCGGGTCAAATTTCCACTTGGAAGATGACACAAGTCTGCGAGCAAGAATTTCCCCACCTAACTGATGCCAGCTTCCACACAAGAAAGCCGACTTTGTTCACAAGTCCCTCCTTCGGAGGCTCGCTCCGCGAGGGGCGCTTCGCGCCAGCCTGGCACAGGCCCATCCGATCGAGGGGCTTGCGTTAAGTTAGCCCTGGTGGGAGGTTTGCTGGTGAAGCACTGGCTGGTGGCAAGGCCACCCCTCCCTGCGGGAACTAAAGCGGGGGTGCTTGCCAGAGAGGATCTGGAAAACTCATCCAGTAACACAGCCTGCAGCTCTCTGATTTTTTGAGCTACACATGTGTTTCTGCTGAAGAAGATCTTCTTTGAAGACTTGCCTTTGCTTCTATCAGCTCAGTTTTGCAAGATTGGCTGTCAAACAATAAAGCAAACAAGAAACATGACTCATAATAATAATATTGTCATGCTCAAGCCCGCAGGCTTAAGCGCAGGAGGACAGATGATGTCTTGACTCCCTTCAAAAATCCACTTAAAATAATCATGTTAGTATTTTGAAAAGCTGATGAGCTCTAAAAATTGACTTGATACACAAGAATCAAGTGGTGCTAGCTGAGACGGACAGCTCGTAAACTACAGGCTAGAAAATTCAAAGAGTGAATTTCCAGCCTGCTTTGGTGAGTGGGCTCAGGCAAGCACCCCCACATAGTTTGTAAGTCCCTCCCTGCAGGAGGGGTGGCTTTGCCACCAGCCAAACTTCAGCTCCACCCAAAACCAACCTCCCGCAAAGGGAGAGACTTTGTTAAGTTAGGCCCGCAAGCAGGTGACAAAATTTGGATTTCGTCACTTCTGCAGTGACTGCGCACCCGCAAAACAAAGTGACAAAATTTGGATTATGTCACCCGCTTGCTGTGAGAGGTCTAAGGTGCTGTCTTAAGGAATTTACGACCTCCAACAGGCGTAGTCCAGTGGTTTTTGGGTGTCAGCTGCCGATCTCACGTAGAGATCAAGCTGGACAAAGTGAGTAGTAGTAATGAAATATATCACTACTATAGGTTAGACTAGATACAAGGAATAAGGGAAAAGAGAAGAGAAAAGAATAAGAGATGGGTTTTTTTTTATTTTTCTTTATTTATTTATTTATTTAGATTTATATTCTTTAAGAATAAATATAGCCGGTAAAGGAACACCTAGGCCTCTATTCCTGGAAGGTAGGAATAGGATCAATCAGATATGTTTTGATTGTGATAATTTTTTATCCAGTCAAGAGACATGGAAGGGTTATTAAAATCAAACCCGATCAGTAGTTTAAATTTTATAGGATTGTTTTAAATTTTTTATGATTGATTTTTTTATTATGAGAATTAAGATCGAGTGGAAAGGAAAAGGGAAAGTAGAAACAAGAACTATAAGATTACTTTTAATCTTGTTTGAGAAAGAGAAGGCTTACTTCAAGGATTCCGGAAAGGTATATCAGGCTAGGAAAAGTAATTGTTTTAGGATATCGTTTGAGGTTGATCTAAGGAAGAAAGAATAGAAAAGAGAACGAGTCGATCAAAATCTTTTAATCTCAAAATTAATTTATATAGACAATTAGTAAGAAAGGAATTAGATAGAGTAAGACAAACAGAAAGATTTATTTTCCGGTGAGTTACACTAAGTAATTACCTTTTATTTTGTTGTCTCAAAAGTAAGCATGAGAGGTAAAAGAATTTTTTTCAATGAGGGGGGAGGAAGGACTATTCCGGTCTCAGGTGTTGAATACTTTGTACCAGTCCTTCTTCTAGAGTTTGTTGTTGTTTGCATTGCCTTGATTTGATCATCTTGCAAGGCTGAAGTCATTCTTTTGAAGATTGCTTTCAATATTCAAGGGATTTGGTTTTCCTTGATTAATCTTAATTTCAAGAGATCACATATCTGTGAAACCTCTAACATGTACGTGAAATCTTCATTGTTTTCAATTTTATTAATTTTTATTTGTTTTAATTGTTTTTGTGAAACCTTTAGGACATGTCAACATGTCTCTAAGGTTGACATTGGGCGTGGGTTCAAATCACACTGTCTTCAAATTGTTTTGGTGGTTCTTTTCTGTCTGAGCAGGCTTCTTATTAGGAGACTGTTTTGGATGTATCACACAATTGACTTTTTTGCCTTCTTTTTGTGAGGTAGACTAGGGGGGAAAATCATTTCTGTCTATAGACCTAATTTATGTTTTATTTTGTTGGTCATTTTGTTTCACTCATGATGAGGAAGGTGTTGTTTGATCTTAGTTTCATCTACATAGTGGACCTGCTAGGATTATCATAGATATATGAATCTGTTTCAAGTGTTGTCCAAGCAGAGATGTTCATTATTATATAAGATAAATACAATCTATATATGTATTATTTTACCTAAAGTGTTCCATATATAAGATACATACAATCTATATATGTATCATTTTACCTAAAGTGTTCTATTCCTATGTACTCAACATGCATTATGTGTGAACTTATGCTGTTTAGAAGCCAGCTTGAAGGGAAATTAAGCCTAAATTTTCTCAATTTTCAATCAACTAGAACCTCTTTCTGATAAAGGGAAGAAGAAGATGGGTAAACAACAGCAAAGTTAACTTGAAGTACATAAGGAATCCAAGAACTCATACAACAAATAATTAGTAATAGAGATGATCTTTGTTCTGACTGTGGCTGCTTGTTAGAGAAAAGTCAGTATTGGGCTCTCATACTGTTCTGTCCAAGAGTTGCTGTTACCTCTTACACTTTTTGTATGTCCCCTGAGGTCAGTTCAATGGAACCTTTTAATACATTTTCTGTATCTTAGTGCTTTCAATTTGACAATGACTGAGTGGGACATGTGTTGTCAGTGTCTTTGGGGTCGCCCACACACACATGAGATGTGCATAATTTTTGGGTTTTGTCAAGAGGCAGTCAGACACCATCAAATGACCATAAGATGAGGCTATGAGTATGATCCAAGATCATAAAAGGAGGTCTGAAGATCGAAAAAACTTCACCTGTTCATTCCCATTTCTAATATCTTCAAATCAATTTATTTTATCTGGGAGGGCTATCTATCCCGTCTGAACATCTTTAACATAGCAGTTTCTTTGAGGAAGATATATCCAGTCTCAAATATTCTTCTCAAACAACAATAATAATTGGAAAAGTCTTGGAAATTTTCATCATGTTTACTCAATTAAGAACTCTTCTCTTGATAGTGGTCAGTTCTTTTATCTTCACAAAAAGAAAAATGAAAGGACCCAGGTGATTTTGAGATAACTAACCAATTGAATTTTCTGATTGTGATAGATTTTTCAGCAAGTCTTTGGATCGCCTACCAAGAGCCCTGTCACTGGGCTTCAGTCATTAAGATGGCTAGGACCTGAGTCACCTGATAATACCAAGATAATTGGATCAGCTTTGGATACCCCAAAAGCATCAATTGAGGCAGAGGCAACAGAACATCCAAGTTCACCTGTAAGTCATCCTTCAACATTTTCGATGGAAGTTGAGCAGATTTCAGCTCATCAATTTTGAGTTTAGAGTACAATGTGTGATCTTGTGGATACAATTTTGGGAAAAGGCTTTGGAATCTCAGCTATATCCCCAAGCCACTTGACTAGGTTTGGGCCACTAAAGTGGCTTGACATTGAACCAAAAGATACCAAAATCATTGACTTGCCCTTGAAGAACCCAAAAAGGTCAATGAAGGAGGAAACTGAGTCCTCAAATGACCATGTGAGTTTTACTTTTCAGCTTTTCAATGTTAAGGAGGGAAGCACAGTTGAGCTCATTGATTATGAGTGTAGGGAGAAATATTCAATACTCAAAGTGGTTTAACTATGAGTGAAGACAGAGAAGATCAAAGTGAGTCAAAAGTTCTGATACAACAATTATTGATGAGATCAATGAATTGAGATATGATGTATATTGGGCTGATCTATGGGGATTCAGATCTTTCATGGAAATATTTTGAAATTCAAAAATGTCCATGTTGTAATAACAGGTGGGAAAACCCTGGTGCAATCAGATCTGATGAGCATGGGCAGCCAATTTGCAGTAGATGTGCACCTTCTGAAACACAACAGTATTGGTGGAACATTGATTTCTCATCATTGAGCCAAAACAAGAAAGGTCCATACCCCATCAAAACTTCATAGATAAATATTGTCAGGCTAGCTCCAAGGAAAAAAGTGATCAGGATCCACTGGGGAATCATAAAATTTCCCCCATCCCCTTACAGCTCACTCCCACCACTTCAATTATTGTTTTTTTTAGATTATCTTTGTCTGGCTTCTATGTTTTGCTATCTAATTTTCCTTAATCATAAATTTGCATATACCAATTCTATGCCATATATAATTAACTAAAAAATTCTCACATTTAGTAGAGAATGCAGCTCAAGACAATGACATAAAAATGGTATTTCAAGTTGTAAATTAAAGCCCACGCAGCTTTCCATGATTAATTATCTTGCCAATATTGAGAATAACTAGATTTCAGCTCTTAGAGCTATAGAGGTCAGAAGTTGAACAGATGCTATTTTGTTTGGGATCAATTTTTGTATGACTACATAGTGTGTGGGAAATATATATTGCTTCCAGCAATGGACAAGTTGGCACATGTCTGAACTATGGTGATGATCAAGAGATAGTCATGCACAATACACTGGAGAAGCCATGAAAAGAGTAGATGGGCAGTGGCTGACCTATAGTTTCTGATGCAGAGTATGTGTATTAGTGGTCATCTACCCCAAGACTATCAACCAGTGGATATCATAGGATTCCTAACTCTAATTTGCCCATAGCCACTGTACATTCAGATTCCAGAAAGACAAAAATGAGCAAGCATAGATCACATGCTAGCCTGCTGGGGCAACAATTTGTTTTTGTAAGCACTTGACAAACGTGATGGGATGTGTGACGGAGAAATGGAAAAAAGATTTTTAACCCCTGGGGGCTCAGAAATTCCCCAACAACCCCGCAGGGCGATGGAAGCATTTGGTAATAGTTTGCAACCAGCAATTTGATTATCCTCAGTATACACTTCACTGGATTAATCACTTGCCCGAGCACAAAGATGCCAGGTCGTGGGAATTCCGAATACAAATAGGTCCCCTCGTACTACGCGGGTTCGATTCCCGTAACAGTCGCCAGTTTCGTCGGCGTGAAAACCGAGGGCCAACATCGGTAAGCCGAAATACTGTCGGGATCCGTATACCATCGACCTGGCCCAGTTGATATCCAAAGGACGAACGACCATCCACAGCCTCACGAAGAAGACGTTGGCGACTGGCCTAGCAATGAAGCCTTCAAAACCGTTCACTCTTCCTCGAGGCAAGATCGACCCTGATGAGGAAGACCACGATGCGAGTGCCATAGCCTTCAAGGCTCCATTACCGAAAGCATCAGACACAACCATCGACCCATCCACGGACTTCATCCCTAATCCAACATCCAAGATCGGGAGACGACAATGGAAGGATGATAATGCAGACCCTTGGCAATTCAACGCCTGGTCGTTTTTTTTTATTCGTTCCTGCTAAACAGTTGTTATGTTGAGAGGCTTAAGAGAAATGCTGACAAAAAGAAACACCTTGTGTGACGCATCTAGGGATAATGTCGAATGGAACGAGGAGCAACAAAAGTTTGCCGAAGATGCAACGATGAAGCAAGCTGCTAATCCAGTTCCAGACGAGATGAAAGGTGAGCTTATTCTCCATTCTCATCCAACCAAAAATAATGTAACAGCTTGGATCCTCTTATACGAATGCTGGAAACTCAACCAAATTCAATTGGTTGTGTAGTCAAGTTTAATGAAGCACCGGCCGATTTTTGGGATACGTTTTACGCAACGCGCAAGGACACATTTTTTAAAGATCGAGCATGGTTGCGGAACGAATTTCCGATCTTAGAACAAGCGGTCAAACCAGATGTATGCTACTTCTTTTTTTCTTGAAAAAGTGAAATCGCTTATTTATCTGTTAATTTCTCTGCGTGTTCCCCAAAAATCAACAACCTTCAACCCTCAAGTTTGGTCCGATCCGAATAGCTGAACTGGGATGTGGGGTCAGTGTTGGATCTGGGAAACATTGAAGAGCTCATGAATTGATGTTTCGAATTTCCCAATTTCGGTTGATTGATATACCAGCCGGGAAACACGGCATTCCCGATTTTAGCAGCCAATGAGAACCCGGACCTATTCCTATATGCGCTGGATTATTCCTCGAAAGCAGTCGAGCTTGTCAAGGTTAGTTCTTGATCTCCTCATATTTATCATCTGTTTTTTTTTTATTCAATGGTTCATAAACAGTGTGGTTCCTTACGAGCTGATCAACACAGAACAACTCTCTCTATGACCCTAAACAATGTCTAGGGGCCGTATGGGACATGAGCTCCTCTGATATACCCCAAGAGATTCCAGCGCACTCGTTGGACGTGGTCATCATGATTTTCTGTTTCAGCGCTTTGCATCCTAAGGAGTGGTCACAAACCGTCCGTAACTTGTGGAAAGTCAGTTTTTCTTGTTCTCTCTCACTTGACAAACGCTTGACAATGTGCCAAATTTTGGCCAGATTCGCTGATATGATAGTGGTCTACCTAGATGCTCAAACCCGGGGGGGCCTTGCTTTTTCGTGATTATGGACGCTATGATCTTGCTCAATTACGGATGAAGGGCTCTCGATTCCTGGAAGACAATCTATATGTGAGGGGAGACGGGACACGTGTTTACTTTTTCGATAAAGGTATGCAGATGACCTGATTCACCAATGTAGTTATTTTTTTTTCCTTGATGGAAGGGTTTTTCTGACAGCGTGTTAATTGTGTACTCGTGGTTAATCCGCATGCTTACAACAGATGAACTCGCCGAAATAATTTGCCAGGACCTAAAAGAAGACACTTCCTCTGAATTCCCCCCAATTGAAGTCACGGAGTTGAGCCAAACTGAATCGAGTTTAAACACACTCCAGCAACCTGCTTGCAAGTTTGAAGAGGTCAAACTGGTAGTCGATCGAAGGCTACTTTTGAACCGGGCTCGTAAGCTAAAAATGTATCGGATTTGGTTGCAGGTACTCATCTGTTTCTGCCATGTGTCTTTCGCCTACTCTTCTTCTCTTGGCGACATGAAGTTTTAACTTTTATTTTCCGATTTGTTTATTGACCAACTTTAAAAACTTGCTTTTTTTTCGCTGTGGCAGGGTGAATTCCGGAAACCTATCCTATAGTTCTAAAACTGCGATCATCAAAGTTTTTTTTTTTTTCCTTTTTTTCATTCTTATCAGATACACTTGTTTCAAAAGATGTCGGTTTTGAATTAAAAGCCATCAGTGGTGAAGCTATCGGCATCAATGATGAAGTTTCGCCAGCGGTACACTCATGAAACTAGGGTCTGACCCTTGACAAACGTCGATAGTGATGTGAGTGTGGGTTTTTTTTTTTTTCAATACAACGTTCCTGTTCTGGACAGGCACCATGTAGTCATGGAGGATGTTTGGAAATGGGTTGTGCTCCGAATAGCTGGCAACTGGCCTCTTGAGAAGTTGGGTGCAGGGTCTGTTAGGGCAGCCTTGGCTGCTACAGTGCCATGGTGTGCAACATATCCAGCCCTTCACATCATAGCACGTATGGCTTTGGCGTGGCCGAAGAGATTTATCATTGGCTTTTGCACCAATGAGTCAAGATAGACCTGCCATGTAATGAATTTCTTGACAACAGCCGGGCAGTGTGCGTCATATGATATGAACTTTCTTTTGCATGAAGATACCCTTGATTGTGTGATGTATGTACAATAACCCGAGACAAAAGGGTTGGTCCTGAGCAAGTGTCATGAGTAGTTCTGATCTCGGTCCGTGAAATTAGGTGGCAGGGATCCATGGCCGGACATAATCAACCTTGAGTGCCGAGCATGCCCGTGGCACATCTCACCGCAAGTACGACGTTTGTAATACCGACAAAAAAAAGACTTTCCTTTACATTCCTGGAAAACATAATTTCAGGCGCTGGAACGAGGAATATATAAGCAATGCGTTGTTTGCTTGGCTATCCACATTCTCCATCCAATCAGCTACCTACCCTCGAAGATCCTCATCTGAAACACCAAGATACCTTCTTCGAAGCATACCTGAGCAAAGCCCAATCTCACCACTCCGTATATACTTGTAAATTACACTCAAAACAACCGAAGTTCAAAATGAATTCCATCTTCCTCATCATGTTGGTCGCTATTGCATCAACCGCCGCTTTCCCCGCCGACAAGATCCCAGGAGACAAGATCCCAGGAGACAAGATTCCAGGAGACAAGACCCCGGCAGAAAAGACTCCTTCACTGTCAGGAAAGGCCCCCGCACCCATCTGGGGTTGTGATGACTTCAAGGTCAAGGGGGTCGCCTTTTCTCACCGTGGATGTGAAGTTGAATATGAGGGTAAGCTTGACCTCCTTCCCTTGACACTTTGCACCCTGAATGCCAGCCTCGCAGGTTTTTCGCATGTTCATTTTTTCGAGTTGTCTAACATTTCATTGCCCAATTGCGAGCAGTCACCGATGTTTCTAAGACAGGAGATTGCCCTAAGAAGGAACTCCGCCGATGTTGTAACATGAAGGCTGTAAGTCAATCTTTTGATGGGATGGGATCTAGTATTGTAGCAAACTCGGTCACGCATCGTTGTTCTAATCCGCCTTGTGCACCTCGACTAACTTGCGCTCTCTTTTCTTCAGTCTCGGGCAGTCTCATATGGTGGAAACTGCACCAGCCCGCCAAAGAAGGCCTGATACCCTTCGTCCAAAGGAGGGCCCTTCAACCTGCCGATTCTTTCGATTTCCCCTCTCCCGGATCCACTTCATATTCATACCTTGCGCTTATCTTTTTTTTTGAATTCCTCTTCTTACTCTCCTCTATACAGGCTTTGCCTTATTCAAAGGCTTTACCGTTTATAAGTTTCACCCGAAGCTAGTTCTTCAAGCTCGTTGAACTATTGTATATATCTTTCGCAATTAGCTCACATGCATCGATGCTTTGCACACACTGTCCCTCACCCCTTCCTCTCGGAGGAGCCAGCTTGCACCCTTGTAGCCCTCACTCCTCTCTGTCATACCAAAAGTGCACTTTTCTGTTTCGTTTTTCAATACAAGCTACCTGTAGCAGCTAAGACTCAGTAAAAAAATGACCAAAAATGCTAAGAATAAGTTGACACATGACACATTCATGCATGGAGCACAAATCACATCAAGCTTGTGGCATTGTTAACCCACATCTACGTAGAAGATTCTTTCTGGATCCTTCATAGATGGAAGTTGCCAAGTTTTTGGGCCTTGAAAATTGGAGTCTTAAGGGAATGGTGAGCACAGGGGCCAAACAAGGATTTGGGCTGCCTATACCCCATTTCTACTAACAGCACACCATTGATCCAGGTATGCCGTGTGAAATGGTGGGCAGTCACAGGTACATGTATGGTTGAAATATCAAAGAGTATACTTTTATATTAAATTAAAAAAAAGAAAATAGGGGGTATAAAATATAACCAGATTCACCATTATTTGATTAACTAGTTTGTAAAAATCCACCCTTTTGTCAACATGTTAGTTATCCATTTAACTCCTTTTGGGGCCCATTGATGCAAAAACAAATTGGAAAAAGTGACTGGTTTCTAATGGTGGATTTCCTATATTTGATACCCCCTAATATTGTGATTTCTTGGGCTTCATTTTGCAGCATCATAAGTATAAGTATCAGATTGAATGATAAATTGAATATAAAGCAAACCAACCAAAAATATGTAACAAAAAATCCATTCAACAAAGGTAAAACACTGCTTTTGAATGTATTATGAGGAAAATTGAGGTATTGAGAAGATATCAGATGGATCAACAGACTAGCGCTGGAACCTTCTCCCGGGACCTCTGGGTGGACCCAGCGGGTACACCACCGGTTTAGGGCTGCAGGACAGCTCTTCAGGAGCCCAAAGACCAACGGGTAAGTCGGGTACGGTCCACAGGCCGCCTTGGAGATACCCTTGGGTATCTTGGGTTGCGCTGGGGGAGGGGCAGTGGGGGCCCATTGGCCTCTACTCCTCCCCAAACTGGGGTACCCGCGGGTATTTTTGAGGTGGGACCTTGGGTATACCTGCCTCAAGTTCAACCCTGCAGGTCGTTCCCTATACCCGTGGGTACGTCTTGGTCACACTGATTTTTGTATCCGAGGGACGGGAGTACCCTCAGGTTGGGGCGCGGGCAAGGCCAAAATGCTTGGGTACCCCACGTGTTCCAGAGCTACAACAGACCACTCAGGAACCCCAATGACAATTTCATTTTTTGTTGATTTTAATAGCTAACAATATAGATGAAATTTTGGGCTGAGACCGGGGATATGGGGAGAAGATTGACCAGAGCAAAAAACTCAAGATTCTAGTCTTGAGGAAGAAAAACAAGGTCAAAGCACCTCAAGAGAGGCTTAAGCTGCTAGCTTGCGTGGCGGAAAAGCGCTCAAACTACAAGTTATTGTATATCTTAGAGACCTCAAGGAAATGCATGCAGAAAGCAGATGATTTCATTTTCTAACTCATCAGTATGACTATTTATCTACATACAAATGTGGGCTGAGTTGTGTGACAGAAGGCAAAAGGAATGAATATTCATCTGGAACTGAAAAAGGAGTGACATTGGGATGAAAGAGAGGAAAGAGAGAGAGATGGCAGAATTCCAAAGCTACATAGATTGGTCCAACAACTCCCGTGGAACAAAAAAAAACAGCCAACTTGTCAGTTTGGGAAATTGGGCTGTTGACTCCTGTTTTGTCAGGCAGCTTGAGACTGACAACTCCCAATGAAAAAAAAAAATTCAAAATGGGCGGACAACTCCCATTAAAAAAATTCATATTGGTCCGACGACTCCCCAGACCAAGCCCTGGGTCCGTAGTTGGTCCAGGGGTGGTCCTCTCAATTTCAAAAACCAAATGGGAGTTGTCGCCTAAAATTTATGAGTTGTTTTTCCAAGCCCCTTTGAAAATAAGTAAAAATGTACCCACTGAGCCAAATCCTTAGTGATTCAAATTTTGAACATCACATCATGGAGCCAATTTTGCCAAACTAATGGCAGCTAACAAGCAGGCCAGTTGCAATGTAGCCTGTGTCATACTGTAATCCATTGCCACTTAAAAAAGTTTCTGAACATTTATCTGTGCATTGAAGTAAGGCTGAAGTAAGAGCGTCTGCAATATTGGTATGCGGTGTAAGACTCAAAAAGTGGTTGTAAGACCCTTTTTGCTGAATGGAGAAGGGGATGGTGGAGGTGCAAGCTCTGCCCTTCTATACTATCAGATAACAAGACCCACCAAGCTCAGCTTGGCAAGTTTTAATCAAGTGATAGGGTAAGTTCAGGAATGAGTTTGTGTGATGCTGAGAAATGAGTTTTGTTGTTATTGGTGTTTGGTAAGGTTCTGTAAAGGTGGTGTATCTTTGATTGAGTGGTACTAAGCTTGTGACTGATGAATAATACACTGAGGAGACAACAACTGGGAGGAGAGCCTCCTTATATAGAAAATAGTGAGGGAATTTAGCTCCAGGACAGCCAGTAATGAGTCATTTTGGCTGGCCTGGGCTATTACATGAGGGTTTTGAGCTACATACAGAAGTTGAATGAGTGAATGTGATTGGTCAGATATGTACAAGAGTTGAAGTGGTGATCCAAACAGCTGAATGAGTGATTCTGATTGGTCAGGTTCTGATGTGTTTACAAGTGAGTGTGGTGGTGTAAGCTGCAGCTGTCATGCATGGAAAATACATGTACTGAGGGTGTCTGTGTAGCTTGAGGGTTGTAATTGGGTTTGGTGATATGTAATGATGGGTGAAATCCTTGTGATATGTAGTCCATTGTTGGGTAAGAGTTGATCCAGGTGTGTTCCAGTGACGCCTCCGTGGTGACCAAGGGTGAATTTATCCGTAGAGTCCAGTTCTTGAGCCGCATGGTGTGATTTCTGAGAGAGATTGGGTGATAATATGAAGAAAATATATATAAGAAAAGAAAGAAAGAAAAAACTTTGAATTTTCACATTTTTGACTACCACAGCCTCCCCCAACTTATTGTCTGTCCCCAGACAATTTACCAGGAAAAAATGGGAAGAAAATTTAGAGAAAGAGTTAATTTTTAAACATGAAATGAAGTGAAAAGTGTAGTAGGTATTTGGAAAAAAATGGGGAAAAAAATGAGTGTGGCTGAAAAAAAGAATGTGATAGCCTCCCCCAACTTTGCAGTGAAGCCAAGCTGGGGTAGCCGTATTTGTGATTTTTAAACTTAAACTTAATTTTTACAGCTGATTTAACAGGGTTTCCCCTGTGAATGTTAGCTTCAGGGTCCCTGTATACCCCCCTTCTGCCCAAAGTGCCGAGGTGGGGGGCATTTTTATTTTATTTTGTTTAGTCTCATTTTTATTTTTATTTTTATTCTTTCTACATACAAATTTTTATTTTTACTGCGCGCTGTGCGCAGCTGCGCAGCCTTTGGATGTCAGGATAACTGCTCCGTCAACGTAGAGTAGCTGGGTGGTCTGGTTCAGCTGCAAAGCCCCTTGGGAGGGGCCCAAGGGGTTTTCTGACCGTTCTGGGGTCGAGTTTTGGTTCGGAGGTCGCGCGAGGCTGAGAGAAGGCCGCCGCCGCAGTCGAGAGCGCTGAGTCGCACGTGCCTCGTCCGTGTGCCGTTCAGGTCCGGGTTGAGCTCAGTACAAGCATAGCCAGCCGGTGCCGATTGTGATTACGATGAAGACTGCCGACATTTTCGACCGAATCCGACTTCCGACTTCTTCCAGTGGCTTCGATCGGATCTTCCGTGCATCGACGACATGTAAGTGGCTTTTTTTTTTTCTTCTCAAGAGTTCTATCAATATTGAGTCCTGCCTTCCTATTTGTCAGGACTCATCCGATCGCGTTGTTTATATTCCATCAACCGAATCATGCGCGTTGATTGGCTAGGATCGGCCCACGACGGGGCATAGCGCGTCGCATAGGTCATTTGGAGCTATCAGGTGAGTCTTTCTCCTCGGCTTGTGCTGTGAACTGTCTTGATTATAAAAGAACCGATTTTGGGTGATTTCGACACCAGCTTTCTCATCGATTCAGACTGTGATGTCTGCATTCTTCTTTCTTGCCGCTGGCTGGTCCCTGCAGTCTCTATCCTCTGCACTATCATTGTCGTCAACCGAGCGATGTCAAAAAAATGAAAAAACCCTAGTCGTCATGGAATTCCGAGCTTGTCTGATGTGATCGATACTGCTAATCTGAGTTCAAAAGGATCGAGTCGCTAATCTATTTCTAAATCATTCCTACTATCCATCTCAGGTAAGTTTTTTCCAGATTGTCAATCGTTCCGAGGGGCATGTAACTGATCGGTTGTATCTTGGTTGTTTCGTCTGCTGTTCCAAGGTTATCGATCGTTCCACGAAGCATAGGACTAGTGGTTTGTGTTGAAGCCACCTTGCATCATCGTCTGGAGGTAAGTTTGTTGCCCTCTGGTGATAGTTTTTTTTTTTTTCCCTTCCAATATACTACTGTGGTACGGCATGTCCTTTTTGGCTGTAATAAAAAAATAATTTTTTTTTTAAAAAAATAATGAGCAGTAGAAAGGAAGCACCCTTCCCCCAACTTTACAGTTTGTCCTCAACCTTATAAAGATTAATCCAGTAAGCTGAGTGAGGTGTAAAAAATCTGAAAGGAGTTTTATTGGGTGAAGATTGTAAGTTTGTGAAAGATAGAGGGGTGATAATGGTTCAAGTGAGAAAGGTAAAAAATAAATAAATAAAAGGTCAGAATATGAGAGGATGGTCTCATTGAAGTGTGTAAGTGTTGAAGTTGTGGGATAAATAAGAAGTATGTAAAAGAGCATGGTGATGATGAGTGAAGTAAGAATGTGAGTCCTCCCACAACTTGAAAAAAAAAAAAAAAAAATTAGTCGGCTGATGTTGAAGAAATTCAAGACATATTTTGTAATTTGATTTTTGTGTTGTGAACAGTTTAGTCTCATGCCCAGGAGGAGGCCTATTTTTATGAGATTTGTAGGGGTTAAATAAATTTAAACAGGGAATATGATGATATGCATTTGAAGGATGGGAGGAAGGTTAAGAGATTGACTGATAAAAGAGTGTGAGTTCCTCCCCCAACTTGAAAATATTCTGATGTTGTATTCTTGA